CCACGTTTTCCGTTTTGGGGTTTGGGGGGGAGAAAGCATCAAGAAAACCTTTTGGGGGATTTCTTTCCGCAACCCCTTGGGCTTCTATTTGACATTTGAACAGCCTTTCGTTACCAAACAGCAATGGGGATAACTTTGGGTTGTCAGGATGTCGCCAACTCTGGAATCGAATGCTTCAAGTGGACGGACAACCAGATCATCACCTATGTCATGGCGCACGCCAAAGACGGCTTTGGTAGTTTGATTATCCTTTCCACAACATGGGTTACTGACAGCTTCATTTCACAGGCATAAATTTTAACAATCGACTCGGACGAAGCTGGGCCACATGTAGCTGCCGTCGTTGATTACGACGGTCCCAACGGGCTGGTGGCGATTGATGGGGAATTCGTAGCGACTGGGTACCAGAAGAGCACGAGCGGGATGCGGCTGCATTTGAGTGAGAAGGTGTACACTATGGGAGAGTTTCCGAGGGTGAGGTGGATTCATAAGATTACGTGAGGGTTGGCTTGGGGAGTTGAAGAAGGTCGGTCATGCCAAATAGCAGTTTTCTTTTTCTTTGCTTTTCGGTCACGACGTATTCATTGAAGGGCTTTACCATGTCAGCATTAGGAGGCCGAGTCGCGCGGGGTCGTCTGCGAGGCTTCTTTCATCATCCGGCGGTAATTGTAGTGGTCGTATACTACTTATCCTATCAGAATAATATTCCTTTGTATTTCCGGCAGTATTTCCAAACTCTTCAGCCGGCAGGAAACGTGAGGCTGTGGCACAAGGTCAAGCGAAGCGTCTGATGTGAGATGTCTAGCGCACTCAAGCTCCCGAAATCACACGGTTTTTTAGCTTGGCTCTTCCAAGCAAGAGGTCAATGATTGCCAGTCAGCTTACTTGAAGCTTCAAACCACCCCAGAATACTAGGGTAGCGATGACGGAAGATGTGGCGATGGCGGCGTGGAGATAGACAGTGAGCTTGTAAGATGAATTGATTCGGGTTGATTGGTCTACTACAACTTATTCAGCAGGCTGCATATCTGGTCTGGCTTATGCAATTCACCTAGATGCGTTGATACACACTGAGCCTTGGAAATGAGCATAGGGAGGTGTCGTTCAGGGTGGCAGGCAGCTTCGTGAGGCCACGGCCTAGATCATGCTGCTGATATTCAAGACCAAAGAGTTATAAGAAGGCCCATCGTGCTCATTGGGTCCGATATGAAATCACTACTACTCACAGCTCTCATCAGCTCATCAGAATCACATTTTCCCGCCCCCCACGCCCAACCAATTCTGCAGTCATGTCATACGTTGAAGCTGCCTCAGGTCAGTACATCTGCTGCACTCCCCAGCTCTGACCTCCCTTCACACTGAACTTCCAAACTAACCCAGTCACACAAGGCGGAGTTGAACTCTTCAACAAAGTCGTCGACGCCGTCAAGGGTGCCGTCGGTGCCGTCGAAGAAATCCAAGGCTCCGCCATCAGGATCAAGCGCGCGGCAGCCGCCGAGGCTCTCAGCGACCAAAACGAGTTCGCCGTCCGCGAGACCATCATCGCCAAGGCCATCGATGCCGTCCACGAGGTAGCTCCCGGCTGCAACATCCTCATCGTCGCCGACTACGGCCGCGACAAGAAGCACTTCAAAGGCGAGTGGAAGACGCAGCCCAACATCGAGCTAGAGCTTCCCAACGGCCAGTCTGCCTTGTATCGTCTTTACATGTTCAACTCTGGCAAGTACGACCGCCCGATGGGCCCGATCTGGGAGGCGAACTATATTCAGTACCGCGGTGCCCATGGTGGGGATGTCAAGAGGGAGACGCCGGTTGGTTGCATGTACTTGACGTTTCCGGATGGCGATGGTTTGGACCCGAGTGCTGAGGATATTGAGGAGGAGGCTGATGATGGTGAGCCGATCCCGCCTGAGGGGGATGGGCAGGAGACGGAGCAGCCTGCTGCTGAAGAAGAACCGGCCCAGGAAGAGCAGCCTGCAGAGGAAGCTGAGCAGCCTGCGGAGGAAGCTGAGCAGCCGGCCGAAGAGGAGCAGCCGGCCGAAGAGGAGCAGCCGGCCGAAGAGGAGCAGCCGGCCGAAGAGGAGCAGCCGGCAGAAGAGCAGCAGCCTACCGAGGAGGGTGCTGAGGAACAGTGAGAAGTCGCTGTCGCTGAATATTAGCTGGTGGAACCCATGACTAGTACTGGAATTAGCTTATGCTCTATGAATAAACTTCTGGTTTTGCTTGTTTGTCAACCTCGACGTCTATGATGTCTGGTTCAAGGGCCGTCGCCTACCCTAACCCTTGAAGGTGAAACGAACCTGAAGTGGCCCAAGCTCTAGACGCCAAACTGAACATCTTCACAATCCTCAATCCACCACTACAAGCTTGATTAGAAAGCTGTTTGCATATTCAGGGTTACCAAGGGTCTATCTATATCTCATTGTATCATGTAGTCATAAGCACCATGAACTTGGTCTTGAACAAGCTGAACTCCAAACCTCCTGCTTGCCCCGCTCTGACCTAGCTCCAAACCAGCATGAGTGTGATCAAACAGATGTGACGGCCGCGACCTGGAGATCGACTCGCCGCCAGTCTGTCCACCTTTCTGCCTGTTTTGAAAGTAAAAGCTATAAAAGGTCATCGACTATCTGTCTTTATCAGCAGCCTCGCTTCTAGGTCGAGTCGTGCAGCACAAGAAGCTTGACCAAAACACCAAGACGTCAGGTACCCCGCGATTGCGCCCCTGCCCCCTGTTCGAGCTCCCCCCTTTTGTACTACCTGCAGCATCATCCCTACCCCGCAGTTCCCAAACGCGGACAACCACCACCACCACGAGTAACTACAACCTTCAAACCACCAACCCTTCCAATCCCAACGTCCCAATCCTCCTTTCTGTACGCCAATATCCTCTCTCTTCACCTTATCCCAGGCATCACCGAAACCTCTCCGCCAGCATCTCAACCCCAGCCTTCCAAAATGGTCGAACGCCCCAACAAACCCTCCTCCCTCGTCGCAACCCCCGGCCTCCCCCCCCAACCAACAGTCAACTTCTCCGACGACAACTCCCTCGTCACCGCCACCCTCCCCACCGGCGAGTCCATCACCGTCCTCCTCTACGGCGCCACCGTCATCTCCTGGAAGGACTCCTCCTCGACAGAAAAGCTCTGGCTCTCCTCAGCCGCCAAGCTTGACGGCACCAAGCCCGTCCGAGGCGGCATCCCCCTCGTCTTCCCCGTCTTCGGGCCCCCTCCCGCCGGTCACGCTCAGACCTCCTCCCTCCCGCAGCACGGTTTCGCCCGGACGTCCAGGTGGGAATTCCTCGGCAAATCCACCAGCGAGAGCTCGGGCGATCAGCAAACGGGGGACCTGTCCGTCAAGCTTGATTTCGGCCTCTCCAGCGCGGCGGACGGGCTGGATCCAAAGGGCAAGGCGGCCTGGCCGTTCAAGTTCAACCTGATCTACAGCGTGACGCTGAACAGGAGGGATCTGACGACGAGCTTGGTGGTGACGAACGATGATGAGAGGGCGTTTGATTGCCAGGTTTTGATGCATACCTATCTCAAGGTTAAGGTACGCTTCTTTATTCTTCCCGTCTGAAACAGGAGAGAAACGCTGACAATAATGAAAAACAGGACATCACAAACGTTACTATTTCCGGCCTCGACAGCTCATCCTACGTCGACAAGGTTGACGCTGCCTCGACAAAGACACAGTCGGGGGAGATTAGGATTGAGGGCGAGACGGACAGGGTGTACACCGCCGATGGGCCGGTGATTGTGTCCGAGGGCGGCAAGACTCTCTTTACCGTCACGAGGGACAACCTCTCCAACGTGGTTGTCTGGAACCCCTGGGTCGAAAAGGCCAAGGGCATGGGTGATTTCGAGCCAAAGGATGGGTACAAGGAGATGCTCTGTGTTGAGCCAGGGTCGGTAGGCGGCTGGCAGACGCTGGAGAAGGGGGATGCGTTTGAGGGAGCGCAGACGATCGCTTTGGGGGCTTGACTGAGGGCTGTTCTCTGAGAGTAGGGAACGATGATATGACCGGATGTGATGATGAATTCAGCCATGTGATTTTCTTTTTGGGAAGACGATGTGATGTTTGATTTCGGTGTGATTTGGTGTTATTTCTAGACAAGTATAAAACACATTCTAGCACACTGATCATTGTTCAAGAGACATGGTGCAAGCCATTGCAAGATAGGTAAAACATAAAATCAAATTCTATCAAGCAAAAGACATGAAACGATATCCAAAAGACGTCTATAAACTGATCATTGAAATCCCCGCGAAGGCCCCCCCAGGTAATTAGCCAAGCGGACATCGTTTGCGTGCCGCAGCAGCGCCTCCCGCATCTTCTGGCTATACGCCTGCTCCTGAGCCTCCAGCTGCAGCTCCTCTGGGGTCGCAGACTGCTCTTCCCCCTTTTCAAAATCACTAGACCCAAACCCAGGCTGGCTGGAAAAACTCAGCAGCCCCAGCTTCTCCCCCGTCCAGAAAACCAAGTCATTGTTATTGACCTGGGCTTCGCCACTACTGGACAAAGCCGCGGCCCTTGTTGCAAGCAGCTTCCGCGCCAGGTCGCCCGAGCCAGGCATCGAGGCAAAAATTGACGGTCCCTCCGTTCTCTCGCTGTGTCCGATTCTGTGCCGGCGCACCTCGGTGAAGCCGTCGCGTTCGAACCACTTGACGTACCCCATGCCGTCTGCCACGGCGAGGCAAGAGCCGTGGTTGACGACGGACATTAGTTTAGAGCGGGCACATGTCTGCCGGTTTCTGGCCGGCTCTCCCACAGGTGGCAGGCCGTAAAGCTCCAGAGATCCCTTTGACTTGTACTCGCCGCATGCGATGAGGGTTCTTCCCGGGGCAGATTTGGACTTTTCCACTTGCTCCAACGAGAGGCGTGCCTGGCGGCGGGCTTGAGAGTCTTCGTAGGAAAAGGGGTAGGGTAGCGATGTCATGCTGCAGAGATTGGCGCCCGAGTAGACTGTTCCTTTGATGCGGGAAAATTGGCGGCGGTCGTAATGCAGGATGCTCTTGAAGCGACCGGCGACGTAGATGTCGTCGGATAGGCTGCTGGGCTGGCCTTCTACTGGGAGGTGAAGGATACTCACAGGCCCTGGCTGTGCAAGGGGGACGTAAGGGGGTAGAGGCGAGTCGTCAAATAGCTGTCGGTATGGATCTTGGCTGATGTCTTCGAGTTGTACTTTCGTCCCGTCAAAGGCATCTATCGTGTCAACAATATCGGCTCGAGGGGGGCTTCTAGATCGGTAGTCATGAAGGTGAAGGCCGAGGCTTGTGCCGACAGTGAGAGGAACGGCCGAGTTGGCGGCTGATAAAGTCGCGATAGACCACGGGAATGTCTCACGGTGTATGACTGACAGTGTGGGTAAGTCGACCTCGATAAGGTCTGATACAGGTAGTTGTTAGCCAGTTTCAACCGAAGAAAGTTGGTGACTACTTACTTTGCTGTACCGCAAAAAATGCCCTGTGTCTCTGGCTATCCACGCTCACACACTCAGTGACGCCAGAATCTATCTGATTAGATCTGGTCTTGGGACCGGCAAACAAGATGCCCGGTCGGCTACGAGCAACAATGGCACCTCTTTTCGTGGCAGAACCGCCACTGACATGCCAGAGGCAGACACTCCCATCATCTAGGGGAGAGACTGCCAGTACCTTTCCGTCCAGACGTTCTTCGCCGTCGGGATAGTACAAAGTTACCCCCCTGGTCTCCACAAAATCGGCTGCTGACCTGGACTTGGTTCCAGTGCCATGAGCGTATGGCGTCTGAAACCACGATACGACTATCGGGCCTTGCCGGCGTATGTATTCATCATACCAAGAGACCTGCTCATCAGGGAAGATTGGGTCCCAATTGGCCGTGATGCGAACTCGTTCTCTCTCTAGACGTTGCGAACTGCTGAGGCGGTCCCCGTCTACTTCTAAGCCAGAGATGCACTTTATCCAAGAGTCTTCATTTGCCTCTCCAGTTTCCTCTGACGGAGCCCTCACACCGTTGGCGGCTTGGAGGAGGGCAAAGTTGAGATTTTGCAGCCGAAGACGACTACGTAGCGAAGAGAGATAGGACGAGTCTCGCAAACATCTTGCGCGCCAGACGACATCATCACGAGCAATTTTGCTGAACTCGCGGGAGACGCGTTGGACGGGGACAAGTTCTGGTGGCTCAAGAACTGCAATTTGTTAGCTTCAGGTCAGGAGAGAGGGAGTGAGGTCTTGAAAGAGAAAATGTGGTAGAACCACGTCAATTCTTCAATCCGCGTGGCAACTTTGGCCGGGCCTGTATAGCCGGATCTGGAGAGCTGGCCGGGTTGTCCACGGCATTGGCGGGGAGGGTGTGGTGAGCAGCTTGGTAGAAAGTGGACCCTGGACTTACATGACAGTACGTGGAGCAAAAGCTCCTTAGGCAAGCTCCCCAAACTTGCCATGACTTCGGGGCTTTCAAATATAGAATGCCTTGGACAAACAACTCCCCTCCAAAAGAATGAAAACTAGACTAGCATCTAGGAGAATGGGCGCTTGTGGAAGGGCATGGATGAGGCGGGAAAGAAACAGCTCATTGCACAAGGGAAGAGAGGCATCCTCAAGTGCTTGTGCAACGGGTTCACAGAGACAGGAGAGAGGTCTTTGGGGCGTAGGACTTTGTTCCAAAGAATCGAAGCTTCAGGAACAAGCCCTCCTGCCCCAACCTAATGCGAACCAGTCTCCCCCACCTGGGCTCGGGAAGTGCCAGGCCCAGGCCCCACAACCCCGCTCGGCGTGATACGCCTTCCCACACCACCCAATAGATAAGCCCTATGCCGATCACCCTGCTCGTCCGATAAGGCACCTGTCCCACAATGAGGCTGCCGCAGCACACTATGCCCGATTCGGCCAATAATCCAATCCAGAAGATTTTCTTATGACGAAGTATCTTTCAACGTCGTTCGGTTTTCTCACATCAGACGGCCTCAGTAGAAATTTGGTGTGACATCTACTGCCGCGAGAACAGCACATGTTACCGCACGGGTGTGTTATGAAGCGTGGGATTAGTTGCGCGGTCCTGCACCGCTGCGTTCCACAATCGAGCTATTGGCAGCGGACCCCCAAATGAAACGATTCCGGCTGGCCTTCAAGGTTCCTACGGCGAGGTGCTGTGATGTGGGGTCTGATGTTGGTGAACTGTGATGAGCTTGGTGATGCGGATATGTGCGGGAGAGTGCGAGGGAGAGTGTGCAGGAGAGCCAGTTGCTGCCTTGGCCCGCGGCAGGCCGCTCGTGTTACTGATGGCCTTCGTGCAGGCATCACATGCTACACCCAAAGGCCGATATATAGGTATGTTTGAGAGGTACTGCCGCAATACTATATGTATGAAGTCGTTGGATGGCCCTTGTGATCCACTGCCATGCTGATGCCGCACAGCACCGGTTCTTGGGCAACGGCCAAGCAGCCAAGTAAACAAACCCCTTTTCATACCGATGCAATGGGTATGGATCTTTTATCATCCCCTCACTCCAAGTGTGTGTGCTGGCCTTTGCCTTGAATGCAAATCCTTGTCTTTGACTCATTTCCTCCTTTTTGCTTTTATTTTCTTGCCTTTCTTACCCGCCCGTCTTTGATAGCATCGTGTAGGTACCTAGACACTATATTTTATACCCACGCTTTGATCACAGACACTGTGAGCTTAGAGAATGTCTACCACAAGTTCAGATCATAAGGATATAGTGCCTAGATAAAGTCGGAGAATATTATGCATAGGCTCAAGATCTGAGCTTATACATACCACTCCCCGAACATCAAATAGATACTATATTCTCTATTTGATCTTAGATAATAGCTACTATAAGCTCAGATGTCATCTTTAATAAGTTTAGAATGTAGGGGTATGTCTATCACAGGCTCGGAGGTTACTGTGTATAAGTGTAAAATCTAAGCCTACAGATACTGTTACCGAGCACAAAATAGACACAACATGTCATATCCAAGCTCAGATAGTGTCCTTGATGAGCTTAAATTGTAAGTGTAAGGTGTCTGTTACAAGCTTGGGTAATCTTATGCATAAGCTTAGACAGTGAGGGTGCAAATCTTCCTTATGCTTTAGCTGTGCAGAGGAAGATGATAGATATCTATTTACATGTGTGTTGAAGGGATCTACTCTCTGGGCCTTATACTGTATAGCCAGACGATGACTTCTCCAAATTCAGAATACAAACGTACTACGTCTTCTTCACCATCATCCACTACCCGGGGTTCCTCTGCTCGCAGTTGAGTTGGCAAAAGACATTGTTGCCACGAGTTCTATTTGTGGGTGGGCTCCTCGGTGGTTATGTTTGCGATGATTCTATGGAAGTTATGCTCCGGTGGGTGAAAATCCGGAATCTGGCGAAGGTACGAGTAGTTTCTCCTTGAATCCTGTTCAGTTTGCTAGTGCATAGCTCTCTGGCTGTTCTCAAGGGTAGTGAGCACACTTGGTGGGCTTTGCTGGTTGTCCTTGATTGCAGCATGGTGGAGTCCCGGCGTCAGCGGCGCCCAGATTCGGACTTCCCCCTGTGAGAGACTTGAGGAGAGTTGATTTTCGTGTATCTCGCATGGCAGGGGTCAAAGGGCTGCTCTTTGTCTTCTCTCTGTAGGAAGCCTGATTAAGGACATTGAATTTTTCGGAATGGGACGGGGTGTCTTTGGCTTAGGTAGGTAGCCTGGTGAGCCTTAAAATTTCTCTGGGACGAGATGGTTCCCATTTGGGAGGGAAAAAGAAAGGGTGTATGATAGCTTGTTGACTCTGGAAAGTGGTGGGAGCTTGTGCCAGTACTGTGATGATAGGTAGCTGATGCGGTCGGGAATTTATTCTGCTCCTGCTTGGCGATTTTGAGAAACTAGGAGATCAATGTGGGTATTTCCTCACTTTCAAGTGAAGAAGTTATATATCTGTGAATGTATGTGTCAAAGCCGGACAGTCATGGTGGAGTTGCCAGCGATGCCTTCCATGATGCAAACCTTGATATTTGCTTCACAAGTGGAGTTAACGTCCATTGTAGAATCGAAGCCAAAAGCAGTAAATGGAAGTATCCCGGGCAGTGTGTGCAAGAAGTATTACAGCTTTGACACAAACGAATCTCAGGGTAGCCAGGCCGTGCATCTGACGATACGGAGATGATGCTCTGTGCAAGGAAAGGGATGTGCACGGACCAGATTCAGGGGCTTGTTGACTTGGCTGTTAGGAGAGTGGTGCAGAAAGCGGTCCGTTGCCTGGATGTCTGTGTTACCTACGGTATTAAAGCTCATGATCTCCTCTGTGTATGTGATCTCAACTTGACATCGGAAGGCCCTAGGCGGAAGGGCCTGGCTCATTGCCAGTGTGGGGGTACCGACGCCGAAATGGGATGGCCGAGCAAGAAAATGTGCTCCCCAGGGGAGACACCTCGAGAACGAGGGGTAGTTACCGACTGAGTTGCTCCAGGGGTGCTTCGAGGGGCACAGTTTGCTCTTTGGAAGTTCGCGATATCCTGTCCTCTCCCCCCATTCCATACCAAACTCTGCTATCCTCTCCTCTCCTCTCTTCTTCTCTTCCTCTCACGCAACCATTCCTCAACCTTCCAACAGCTGATATCGAACAGAAACGACTGACCCAGCACCCTTTGATCCAAGTGGTCGATATTCTTTATGCGCTTCCTCTCATCAACAACGTTGTTTGTGCCTGCGGTTGGCGCTCCTCCAGAGCACGGGCACAAAAAGCAGCTGTGAGGACCCAGGTATGTTGCTCCTTCGGGCCCATCTCCTCACCAAGGCCATCAAAAATGCGAACTTGGGCATCAGAATATTGGCCGCAATTGCTACTTTTTGGAAAGATGTGTGTTGCGGCTTGTACTGCGGCTCATAACGCGGCTTGGGCGGCTCCTGATGCCCTACTGCACCTTCTCAGTTATCCTTCATTCAACCTTCCCACTTTGCCTCGACCAATGACGGTTGCCGATTTCGTCAACAGCGCAATTGCTAACTCAGACTGCGTCGCAGCTTCCGCCAGATCTGTACCCTCACGACTTCCTCCTCTGTGGTTCAACATTTCCGCTGCAGCATCATCTCTGGCAACCTTCCAAATTGTGAGCAGCTGAGGTACGTTCATTTCTTTTGCTCTGGTCGCCCTCGTGTCAGTCTGAAAGCATCTCCATTTTCAAGAATGAGAACTGACTGGGCTTCGACCTCAGAAACCACCGAGCATGATTGGAAAGGACGGCCCAGGCGCTGAGGCCATGCCCTCCAGGGGCCATCCACCACCTGAGGGTTCAACCGTCATCGTCCCACCTGGACCAGCCCCCAAAAGATCAATCACCCCCAAGGGCACACTGTTCACCAATCTAGGCGAAGCCCATCTAGCCATCACGGCCAGAGTGGCAGCCAAAATCGCCGGTCAAGCTGTCCGTACTTTGCCGGTCGTCACTCCTTGCCAGTCACCGACTGCGCCTCTTCATGAGCCCCGTCCCAAAGACAACTTGCCGCTGGCGTCACACATGGAGTTTGTCAAATCTTCCCACCTTGCCAACGGACGTTGCTTGACTGGCTATGCTCCCAACGTATCGATTGCTGAGAAGAAGCATGAAGAGGGTTCGCAAACCTCTCCGACACCATCTCCCGACACGATCCTGTCCAGTCCTTATGACGATTTCAACCCTGATCTTGACTGGGTACATGGTCCTGGTCCAGAAATATGCTCAAAGCGCCGGACCAGGGAGACCGGAAGCACAGTTGAGAACATCTATCGACAATACCTCCCTTCGGAACCTTCGACCGTTAAGCCTCAGTCTGTCGCCCATAGTTCACCGCCCACAAACAGAGCGCATCCTCAGTCGCCGGATAGTGGAAATGGGAATAGCAACAATAACCACTACATCTTGGCTCGTTCCTTGACCAACCACCCATCCAAGCCTAACCATGTCGACGATGGCACCCGTCCGAGTAAGCAACGTCGCAAACTGTATGATACAGCTGGCGATGCTCCCAGCGTTCCTCTCCCGGAGCTGCCAGTTGCGAGGCGCTCTGCCCGCTACTACGACAGTCATCTCCATGGGTATGATGATCCACCAACTCCGTCGGGGATGTCGGTTTCCAATACTCAAGTGCTACTTGACAGATACAGTGATCACAGTCAGCTGGCTCAAGATGAAGGCTTTTCAGAAGAAGCCATAGTTGCCGGGGCCTCACCAAAGAGCGAGCTTGGCGGCACTGAGTTGGAGCTGTCATCACACAGCGCCCATGAACGGCTGAAGGAGAGGCTTGACAGGCTACACTACGCATGCAACGCTGGTCTCGCCGAATATTCTACAGGCGCGCTTACTTCGGAGTCGGACGAAGACCCATTCAAGTACGATCGCAAGTCTTACCACGCGCTCCTCCAGCCAGTTCGAGAAAGGGAAGTAAGCCTAGCCCTCCAGCAGTTGACTGGCATTACCGAATCAGCGACGCCAGTGGACGAGATGCCACAGGAGTCTGGACAGCCTGTCTTACAGAGCAGAAACCCATACCTGAACAGACTGCAGTCCTACAAGACTCCAAAAGCTGAAGACACTTGGGAGGATCAAGAAGATCCAAACGAAATCAAAATTACGGTTCAACGTCGCCGTTCTAGTTTCTCACCAGCCCCTCAGCCCGAACTTCCAACTCAGAGCCGCAACTTGACTCAGGACTGGAGGACCAGTTACTGCAATGACCATTTCCATCAACCCCAGAGTGAAGGCGGTGACTGGGAAACAGTTGGAACCAATGTGGGAGGTCAGTTTGGCAGCAACCTTGCATGTGCCTCTGGTAGTGGTCTGAGTGGAAACCCGGCCCTCAAGATCACCAGTGACAGCATTGCGAACTACTCAGACTGCAGTTCCTTTGGCCCATCCCAATACGATGCCTTCACGTCTACTGAGCGGATTCTCCAGCATCCGACAGCCGATCAGAACCCCACCGACCAGCTGTTCAGAAACATAAAAGACACAGGGCGCCCGGTTTTTCTCCCAAAGCCACGAGTAAATTGTGCTAATGGATATCTCTTGGACTCAGTTCGACATTTTACAGATGCAAATACCACAGCAAGCGGTTCTACAGCTAGAAGCGCTCTGCTCGAGAAGATCAGTGCTCGTCTGCGTCGAAATAAAGAACAGCAGAAGAGCGGCAACCCTTTCCAAGTGCTTCCGAACACTTCGGTGCCTCATCTTTCTGATGTTTATGAGCTGGAGGACATGGGCCCTGGCCAGCGTGCCATCAACAACGGGGTTGAAGCCCTCGGTTTGAACAAGGAAAATCGACTTACGCCTCCTAATCAAGAATCGAGTCTCATGGCGAAGGGATCGCCCACCCTTTTCAGCTTCCCACTCATCCCATTACAGGAAGCCGTGAAAAAGCAAGCCATCAGACGGGCAAGTGGAGAAGACGATTTGACTTTGACCACCACCAGAACCCGCCAGGACTCCAGTGTTTTGTCTTCCAGAGCCACGCAGAGAACTACTCCGCCAACGCCCTGTACGGCAAAGCCACAGCAATACTCGCCTCCTACTCCTAGTCTCGCAAGACCTCCTCCCACGCATCTTCGCCGGCCCACTGGACTAGGGATCCCTGATACTGCTACGCCATACCCTACATACCAGATGAACAAGGGCTTTGATGGAGACGAACAAAATCTTTCCACGGCTTCACCCCTCAGCAGCGGCAGTCCACCCATCTACGGACGAGCAGTTTTCCCTCGCTCCTGCAGAAATATCTTTGGCGATGCGCGCGCAGATCCTCCTCGAAAATCCACAAGAAGCAGCTATGGGTTTCCAGTCATGTTGCGCAGGTCAACCCACAAGAGAAAGACGACCCGTGAGAAGAGAGATGCACTCCGGCAACCAGGGGAATCCCCAAAGCCCGGCCCGGTTGTCGACCCGGAGACAGCAGATGCCTTCGTTTTGTCTGGCGAAGATGCGTACATCTCATGGGACAATCAAAGAAAGCGTCGACTGTTCTACTATGGTGCGCTTGCCGTGTGCATTTTCCCCTTCCTGACCTTGTTGGTCTACCATGGGGCTTTCGATCCTTTTCTTGTCTGGTGGACAGAAGGCGAGGTACGCCGGATGACTCGCAAGCAACGTCACGTTGTGGCTATTGTTGGAAGCACCATCGCAGCTGTTTGGCTTGCTGCCATTGCCGTGGTTGTTACTCTTCTTGTCAGCACAAAGACTTGAGTAGTGGTATCATACCTACGAGCCACTTTGTACTCGTAATCAGCGAGTTTGTTTGCATCGGAAAATTTGGAGGATCTTTGGGGAGATTTCTTGACAGTTCTTGGTCAGGTTCTGTGTCTCTTTTCGTCATCTTTGGCATGAGTGTCATGGAAAGAAGGAGGATTTTTGTGACAGCGAAGCTGGTAGCTTTGTGAGGTGGATGGCCTTTTGTTTGAGCTAACTCGAGGCACATGTCTGGCAACAAGGTGATTTTGGTGTTGTTTTGCGGATTTTGGAGGCTGTATCTGCGGTGGCGCTATGATGAACATGGTGGAGTTTATGGGAGGTGTACAGCAACGTTTTCGAGATGTCACGAGAGGTCGGGCTATCGACTTGTGAAGCCCTGCTCTCATATGATCAGTCGGCCGGAGTCTCTTTTCAGCATTTCTCGCTTTTTCGCATTCCCCTGTCGACCGGTACACAATATCCAGCAGCTGTTATTTGTCAACATTTTATTGCCGGCCTCCTGGGACGACACAAGGGCGCCATGTCAGTTACGTTCGGCTCCTATCGGCTCCCGTTTTTCATTTTCCTTGAACCAGCAGCGGTTTCAGCAACAGGTCTGGACAGAGTCATTTTATATCCGGAGGAAGGCCATGGATATGGGATTGCAACCACAGGTTGAGAGTTGGGTGTTTGGGCATTTATTTGGGGGAATAGGGAAGGATTTGGCGGGGAAAAGGATGGTATGGAACCAACACGGACATATTTTGTCTCTTTTGTTAGGGACCGCAAACAAGCGCTGTATTCATTTCAGTTTGCGACGTGGCGGTGTTTTCTGCTGGTTATGTGCCGTTGTGTTTTTCGTTAATGTCTTCCTCTTGCTTGTTCTTGTCGTTCACGGTCCTGTTAGGGCCCAGAACCAGATTATTCCTCCTGTTTCATGGGATCTTGAATCGGGGCCACACTGGAAATATGGGGGGATTTCATGTTTCATCGGGTTCGTTGCTTTCTGAATGTGTAGGCCTTTGCATTCTGTTGGCGTGTTTGAATTTGCGATGAGTTTTGTTTGTACAACTAGGCAGCTTTCTGCCGGGGACATGGCATGTTACTCGGGATATGGTCGACAGCTTAGCCAAAACATTCTTGTAAAACTCTCGGATCCATACAAGATTTGTTTGTGACTGTTTGGTGTCAAGCGCTGTGTGCTAACTGATGGTGATGTTAGTGTCTGCAAATGTTTTTTAGACTGAGGGAATGAATCTTACGTAGAAAGCCAGTCTATCCATGAACCTCTGATCTACCATTTACTCTCTCGCCATTTTATATTTTATATACCTTTTCCCCGTCTCCCCTGAGCTATACCCGCTTTAAAAAGCGGGCTGCAAAAACGCCCTAATCGTCTTGACGGCATCACCGTCGTTCTGCCTGAGCAATTCTGTTGCCCTGGCCTTGCTGACCTCGAATTCGGCGACCTGTTTACTTCACCATTAGCTCCCCTTCCTTTTTCTTTTGTGTTCGTGTAGGTTGACCAACCAAAAGCGAGACGTCGGCCGCATCAACCTTGACTTTGCTCTTGGCCGACGCCTCGACGGGGAGCTTCTTCTCCGAGACGGCCGAGACAGAGTTCAGGGCGTTGGTCGCGGCTGCTTGGTCGACTTGGGTGGAGGTGTTGTCGGTGGTGTTGTTGGAGTCGAGGTTGGAGAGGGCGGCGGCTGCTTTGCGGTCTTCGGCTGAGGCGGCGGGTTTGGAGGTTGTTGTTTCGATGTCGTCTGTTGCGCCTTCGTGGATTGTGGGGGGTTGGGGTTCGGCCATCTTTGGGGGAATTGGGAGGTGGTGGGTTAGGGATGGGCATATAACGGGAGAATTTGGTGGTGATGGTGTTGATGGTGTTGATGTCGGGCAGGATGTATTAAGCAATGTGGGGTTGAGGGGCAGCTTTTGGAGGTTGAGGGGCGCTAGGCTGGATTGGGGGGTTAGGGGATCCGCTCTTATTCAGAGGGGGGAGGGGTGGTGATTGGTCGATTTTGGGAGTGGGGGGGTTTTCTTTGTTAGGAACGGAGCAGACCCTGGTACCCTTGTGACGATCATTCTTGGGTTTTGAGAGCACAGAAGAGGTCAGATTTCGGTTTCGGGGAGGGGGATGAGTCAATTCAACTTTTGGGGATGAGCTGAGAAAGAGCAACACGGATTTTTTTGGTCTACGTGGAAGGTTCTTTGGGTATATATTCCCACACAACTTTTGGGTTTTTTTCTTTCTGGATATTCGACTCCAACGGCGGCGGTCTTTTTTGTTCGTTTGACAACGGACGGTTTTTTGGTGGTGGGGCCAAAAAAAAGAAGGTTTCGAGAAGCATTAACTATACGGCACTTCATACTCGCTCACCACTCAAACCCCGCGGCGAGATGAGCTCAACAACACCACAGTGGACTCCCGACTCGTGGAGGTCAAAACCCGTCAAGCAATGCCCCCAGTACCCCGACCAAAAGGCCCTTCAGAAGTCTCTGGCTGAGCTCAAGAAGTTGCCCCCCATCGTCCACCCGAGGGAGATTGTCAAGCTCAAGGAGCACCTTAGGGATGTGGCCCAGGGCAAGGCGTTCTTGCTGCAGGGTGGTGACTGTGCTGAGCTGTTTGACTACTGCCAGCAGGATGTTATTGAGAGCAAGATCAAGCTGCTTTTGCAGATGAGTCTTGTGCTGATTTGGGGTGCTGACAAGAGGGTTGTGCGGATTGGGCGTATGGCTGGGCAGTATGCGAAGCCGCGGTCGAGTCCGATGGAGATGGTTGATGGGAGGGAGGTTCCTTCGTTCAGGGGTGATATCCTGAATGGGTTCAGTGTTGATGAGAGAGAGCTGGACCCTAACCGCTTGGTCAAGTAAGACTCACCTTTCCCTGCCACTCTCACAAGTTGATGCTAATGCTTACCGCAGGGCTTACCACCACTCGGCTGCCACGCTGAACTACATTCGTGCTGCCATCTCTTCTGGCATTGCGGACCTGCATCGCCCTCTGGACTGGGGTCTCGGCCACGTCCGTGATCCCGCACTGAAGGCCAAGTACCAAGAAGCTGTCGACTTCCTTACGGACATGCTCCGCTTCATGCAGACTATCGGTGCCGACAAGTCCCACAATCTCGATACCGTCGATCTCTTCACCTCCCACGAAGGTCTGTTGCTGGAATACGAGCAATCCCTCACCCGTCTCCTCGACACCCCTTCCGCTCCCGGCACCCCCAGCAAAAAGGAGTACTACGACACATCAGCCCACTTCCTCTGGATCGGCGACCGCACCCGCCAGCTCGACCACGCCCACGTCGAGTTCTTCCGCGGCATCGCCAACCCCCTCGGCGTCAAAATCGGACCTACCACCCCCGCCTCCGACCTGCTGGACATGCTCCGCACCCTCAACCCGGACCGCGAGCCAGGCAAGATCACGCTCATCACCCGCTACGGCGCCTCCAAGGTCGCCGACCTGCTCCCCGCGCACATCCGCGCGGTGGAGGACTCGGAGTACAAGCAGACGGTTGTCTGGCAGTGCGACCCCATGCACGGCAACACGCAGTCTGTCAGCGGGGGGATCAAGACGAGGAGGTTCAGCAACATCTTTAGCGAGCTGCAGCAGACGTTGAGGATTCACAAGGAGCAGGGGAGTTATCTGGGGGGTGTTCACCTGGAGCTTACGGGGGATGCGGTGACGGAGTGTTTGGGGGGTAGTGAGGGGCTGGATGAGGATGACTTGTCGACGAATTACACGAGCTTTTGCGATCCGAGGTTGAATGAGAAGCAGGCGTTGGAGTTGGCGTTTTTGGTGGCGGATCATTATAGGTGTGAGAGGAAGGAGAAGAGGGCGTAAGACTGGGTTTTGATCTGGGATTGGGGGTTCAAAAGAAAAGTTAGGGGGTTAGTGGTAATTCGGCAATTGTTTCTCGTTATATGCTTGTTAGAACTGTCTTTTGAGGTACGTTGGCTATATTTTGAGGCTTACGGGTTACTTTGAAGATATCTGTCTTGGATATCTGCAATACCTTCGATGCATAGTCAACTGATTTGCCACCTTCATGTCCCTTTCCTATCTGGCAAGTCCTCATTTACGGCGATTGTCAGATCAACTGCTTTTCTTACTTTTGATATATTATGAGGCTTTTCTGGACACCGTAAACAGGGCTGGTAGCATTGCCGGCGTGGGTCATTCTTTGTAGCCAGTCCTGGTCCGGCACGTGGCTGTCAGGTTTTTACACTGTTGATGATGGGCGGACAGCGCGAAAATAGCGAGTGAACCACCGAGAACCGTCGTGATCTTTATAGATCATCTATGGCTGTTTAGGAGTGTCGGTATTGTATTGCCGGAAGTATGCCGTGAATAACAGCCATTGCCCTGCTGTGTTTCGTCAACTCCAGGCATACAGTTCAAAATAGGTGGTGATATGCACGTCAGGTTGTCAAACCATATTGTCAGCCCCAGACGTCTGGCTGTCTCGGTGCTCGCCGGAGGCAATTGGAAAAGACAGCACATAAAAGCATGCAACACTCCCAAAATTCGAGGCGGCCAATGGACGTGATGGTCCCGGTGACAGGAGCCAATCACCGAGGGACTGGATCACCATCGTTGCTGTTGCGCCGCTCGGGTAAGGGTAGATGGACAGCGGGACGGGAAGCCTCGTGCTCTGGCTGGTTGGAAAATCAACAGAGATTTCCATCGTGGTGGCCAATCTGGGCTCTGAAGGGTCCTTTTTACAACTGCCGTCTCCGCCTGGATTTTGTGTTGTTGATGGTGGTTGGAGAGGTTTGGGCTCTGTTCAACCTCGGGGCTCTGCTTGCCCCAGTTGAGCGCCCGGGTCTATCAGTGGCTTGTGGGCAGGCTTTCTCCCACCAAAAGTCACCTGCGTTGGGGCACGTGCATGCCGCTCGCTGAACCTGGAACATCCTCTCCTCGCCTGCCCCAGCTCATCACCACCTTGCAGGCTTGCATCGTGACATTGGAGATGGCATGGAGGTTTCCTCCAGCTCGTGCCACTAGTGCTGCAGGTGCTTGAAGTGTGCACTTTGCCGCATCCATACCTGCCGCCTCCCGAAGACAGCAAGCACACCGCCGAGCACCATGATGTATTTTTTCCACCATCGTCGTTTGCTGTTCTTGGTCTTGGCCAGTTGCTTTTTCCCCGCCTATGACACTGTCCAAACCGCCTCCCACTCGCCCATATCCGTTGATTGACGGCTGCGGACGATGCAAATGGCCTTCAAAATGGACCAGACGAGCCAGTCGATGCAGACTCGACAGTCGATATGCTCCAGAGACGCACGCCTATATGGGCATTGATCCACGGACGATGGTCTGCTGGCGCCGTCTTCCTCCATTGGTCTTGGGTGACGAAACTGCGGGCCACTAAACCAAACAGCTGGACCAACTGCGAGGGAGAGGGTGGTTTTCCGTTCGGATGACAGGGAAAAAACGTAGGTGCTACATTCTCCTCACTCTCTCGCTCTTCTCGCTCCCACTCTTCCGATTCCGAACCTCTGTGTGAGACACCGGTTTCCGATCTGGGTTTTGATTCTCTTTTCCGGCTTCCGGATTCAGCATCTCGAACTTCTTCGTCTATACTTTTGTTTTCTTCCAAGTGACATCTCAGTGCCTTGTTCCAATTGTGGTCAAACCTACACCTAGACCTCTCTGTCTTCATGGAGTCCTGACAAACATACTTACTCCTGTCGTGGTCACTTCTTTTCTCTCCTGCTACCTCGAATTCGAGCATGTCCGATGGCTCGACCGGGAGGCGGGGACGAACACCCGCCCTTCCCGTTTCCGGGCGGTCTGTATTACCCAGCCAAGCGGCGTACCATCGACATCGATGCCGACGATTACGATGACCTGTACCGCGAACAGTCTCGCGTCAAGAGGCCAAGATACATACAATATGCCCAATATGCCGACACCGTTGCCTATCAATTGGCCGTGGAACCCAACGACCACATCACCAACAACCTGAACCTAGTTGGAGCAGCGGGAGCTGGAGGAGGCGGGGGAGAAAGGGTTGCGGATTTGCCACTCCTGTCCCACCCACACCCTCACCATCCATATTCTCCCCCGGGCGACCCCCGCCCCCACCACTCCCACATCCGTTCCCGACCGTCCCTGTCCCCTGACCGTTCGGTCTCGGCTCCGGCCCCTATGGAACGGACGGTCTCGGGTCTCTCCATCCGCCCGGACCCCACAGAATCTCACGACCGTTGTGGTTCTATGGAGCTTCTCGAAGACGCAGCAGCTGCCCAACGAGTTCGCGAGCACCTCGCCAACTTCACTCGACGCAACCCGGATTCAAAGCACGAACGAATTCTCAGGTCGATTATCAACCCCCGGGGTAGGCATAGCGAACTCCAACCGCTTGACAACGACTCGCTAGAATCCATCTTTAGTGCCGCCAACGAGATCTTCTTCAACGGACGTCTAAGTCAGAGGGTGAGGTGGGATTGGTCCGATGAATCAAGTACGAGGTATGACTGTCGGGTTATTGGGACGACTGCACTGAGGAAGAAGATTGACAAGGGAGGGAGAGGGTTCGAGACTTTGATCGTGCTGAGCTCGACGATACTCAGGGACAAGAGGTATAACTGCCGAAGGTTGTTGATCAGCACGTTCTTGCATGAGCTGATACACTGCTATTTGTTCATCTGCTGCGGTTTCAGGGCCAGATGGGAGGGAGGCCATACGAGAGGGTTCAGGGAGATTGCCGAGATTGTGGACGAATGGGCGGGTGAAGGCAGTCGGTTGTATTTGGGGAGGGTGGAGGCCGACTTGGAGTTGTTTAGGGTTGAGGGTTCAGAGGAAGCGGCTGATGGTTATTTCGCCCATCGAAGGGGTCGGCAGGGCAGCCAGTATCCATGCTCTGGGATGCCGGAACAACATCAAGAATCCTATGGTGGCACTCAGGAGGTGGTCAAATTCCAAGGAGGCCAGGACTTTGTCCAGATCTTTCCTGAGGATCACAACCGTGGGAGGAGCATTGGGAGAAGCCCCAGCCGCCGAACAGACAGCAGCAATGTCTGGTGGCGACAGCAGAGGACTGTGAGGCCTAGCCCGCTGTTCATCACATATGGTGCGGGCAGTGGTGGCGTCAGCTACGGCGCAGACGAGGACGACTACATATATCCTTCATGAATCTTTCTTTTGTCGATTTCAGTTTTATACCCACTTTCATTTTTTTTGGCAGGCGAGTTTCGAATCTATTTGGCGAGGCAAATACCCATATTTTAGGTGACATAAAAGCATAGCATAGCATCGCATACATGGCAGACTAGCATTTTTTGATAGCATAGCAAAGGCGAATTTGGAATACATGGGGAGATACGGGCTTCTAGTTGTTACATTGCAGTTGGGTGGTGCTTGTGCTTCTAGAAGGATTCGAGTGCCTGGGCTATCATTTGAAAACAACTAGATAACTTTGCGATAGAACCTTCGAACCAGGTTTCATGGGATATGTTGTGTTCCTAGGCACATTCTAGACAAGACTGTAGAGGCGGCGATGTGAGATCCTACTATCTTCGAACGTGTTGACTTCCTTAGCTTTCAGGACGTCCCATCTTTCCATATAGCAGTTTCCATCTTTTGCCCACCACGTGCTAGGCCCATCGACCACACCGAGCAGAGGAGAAAGGAGCGTTGGAATGGCGCCTTCCCATTGTCAAACTCTGACTAGTAATTCCACCGTGATATCAACTTGCTGCCTTTCGATTTCCACTTTCTTCTTTACACTCAACAACAAACAACCTGGCCTACGCCCACTTCCTCACTATGGCTACTGACGAGGGCTTCAAGCCAAACCTCGAACGAGCCCTAAGCTCTAGCACCGCGAAGCCGGCGTGGTGCATGTTTCAAAAAATTGACGATTTGTGTCAGTTCGACATTTGGATCATCGGAGTGGGCGAGATTCCTCTGTCGAAGTTTTTATCACAAAGAGTTTGCGGATCGCATCGTTTCCACTGCTCGATCTCACCGCCACCCCAAGCTCTGGACACTGGACTCATCCAAATTCAATATTATCCAGTCGGTAGCTTGGATTAGTTGGCTCGACGTTGTCATCTTGACTGCTGCCAACGAGTCGGGTGCTCCCGAATGCCATGCAGAACCCAGCAGCCTTTGGGTCGCCGAGCGAGGTGCATCACTTAAACATTGCAAATTGTAAGTGGCGGATGATCAGTTGATAAGATTCTAGAGCTGACCAGCTATAGCGTTGTTAACTCCCCCGACTGGTTTTGCTACTTTGATGATCGGACTCCCTTCCGAGCACAGTGACGGAAGGCTCTTCTTCCAGTATGGGCGATCGAACAGAAGTTACCCACTCATCTCAGAAAGCTCCAGCTATCTGGCGGCCTGGTGATAACGCCGAAACTCCCATAACACTAACACTGAATCTTAACCACTGAATTATAAGTATTCTGATGTCAAGCATGGTTTCCTTCCGGTCTTAACCAGTTTCAGGTGGATGCTCACGTTCAACTTGGTCAGACATTCGCCACCTCCCCTTCCTTCTGTCGGCTTCACTCACGGGTTAAGTGGTGACCTATCGCGCCTTCTTGCTACCTGGATGCCAAACCCCAACGATCATCCGTATCTGTGTCACATCTTGAGCTCTTTCAATCAGGCTGGCCTACCTATCAATTATGCAGCCTATGACTACGTCAACCTTCTACAGCAAGAATGTCAATCAACGGGCTTGCTGTCTTTCTTGCTACTTTGGAACGAAAGATAGTTGGCCGCTTGTCGATACCTGAAGCAGACAAGCCACTCCAGCACCGATTGGTAACGTCAATCCAAGAGGAAAACCACACAATGACACTACACTTGACACCACAACACTTGACACCACAGTTGCAAGTCCCCAACGTGAAGCTTGATATTGGCAACCTATTGGTGTCGACTTACTTCGACGGGCTGAAACCAGTCGAGGAGCATGTCAAGGAGCACGACGCGGACCAGGTTGGTCAGAACAGGTTATACATAGTATGTTGAAACTAACACACGACACAGAAACCGCGGGGTACACAACGATCTCGACTTGCTGTATGTTTTCTTCGTATGAGTCTGGTGAACTAGGTTGACTGACGTATATAGGCGGTTGTCCTGATTCCCTACCAGAATCTCCGTGCCATGACTGGTGCCTTCACAACCCCGGCTATCACGGAGTGCTTCATCACTCAAGCGCTTGCAGATTATCTTCCACGTGCAGATTTGTGGTTTCAAATCAAGACATTCTGCATGGAAGCTCACATCCAAAGCTGGCCCGAAGACACAATCTTGCTCACCATCGAGGCGTCTCTTCGTGCTCAAGATTACGAAGCCTTTGTGCATGTTGCCAGCAATGGGCAGATTGAGTCATCTCAAAAACTGGTCTCCGCAGTTGAGAAGGCTGTCATGATGAGGCCGGGTTGCATTCATCATCCGCTGTTACAGAAAGCGTAGGCTTCTCACCATCCAACAATGGTCTCGGTTCACCAACTGATATCAGCATGACAATTCTAGGCTGTCTTCTGTCCTCGAAACAATCTACCGTATCCACGCACGCTTCGCCCCCATCAAAGCCTTTTCTCAGTTCTTCACCCAAAATGACTCCTGCCAGGCGTTTTTGTCTGCGGAACTGGTGAAATTGGTAACTTTGGCTCAGAATTATCAGAATCTGGGAAGGTTGGATAGGAAGAGCCTCGGAGCGTCAGACGGCGTTGCCCTTGTGGATCTTGGTCTTGACTGTTTGGATGTCGGCTTTCTAGAGTTCAGGTACGTGAACATGTACATGTTGGTGGATCCCAGCACACCATGCTAAAAGCGTATTTTAGAATCATGCCAATTGTTTCAGACCCCCGGGCTGGGCTGTCTGTAATTCTTGGATTCATTCAGAGATTGCTCGAGAGAACGGTGGTCCACGACATCCAGCATGATACTGCCCTTGGACTGTACCAAAAGTTGGAAACCTCGAGTCTCTCGAAGCTTCATTTCGAGAATCTCACTCGTGAGACACAACAGTCTTCAAAGTACTGGTAGGATTGCCATCTTCCTCAATTTTCTCCGGCAACAATATGGACTCAATATAACTATACCAGTTGCCCTGGGATCTTAATCCCCATTGATATGGTACCCGCCATATTTCAAGATCTAGAGCGACTTGGCTGGGTTAAACAAGCGTCAAATCTTGCAAATGCCGTGGCCAAGAAGGCTCCTTTCTTTCGCAGCCTGGAACTGGATCACCTTTGGGTTGCTGCAAAGAAAGTAGGTGAGCAAAAGCTTCATCGATAGTAGCAGCGACGATATAAACTGCCCTGGGCAGTACGAACCTGTGATCGAATCCCTTATTCAATACCAACATTTTTCCCCCTTCAACCTCCCAATCAATCCAAAGTGCTCCATCCTCGCTTAGACGAAATACCGGCCAAGTGGCGGGAGCGAGCGTTGCACGAGGAACTGAGCTGTGATCAATGCATTGCCGCTTCTTTGGATTTTGGAGCTCTTCCTCGTCGCTGTTGTTCGAATCTCCTTGTCCCCTTACCAGAACTGGTGCCGTGGATCATGGCGCGGGAGCGGTATCACCTCGCGTCCTCGTTTTCTTTTCTCGCGTGAGTTCATCGCTGGGCAGAACGAAACGAATTTCTGTTGATGGTTTTTTCTGTCGTGACGTAGACCATCCTCCAATCCAAGAGGAGAGAGAAAAGCGTGCCGTCCATAGGTAGGTATCTGATAAAGTTTGTTAGTCATGGGTTGAACTGTGAAGCTTCTCGAACCTAACGTATCGGCGGGAAGGGGGCGTGGCGCTAGGTCCAGAGATCTCATCGAACCAAATTGGTAACATGGGCACGTCGAGATCAAGGGCGACAACCGTTGTGGCGCTTGCTCGCCATGCATATACCATCGTTTGAGCTCGTGTACTCGGGGTGTGAGATAGCAGGAGAGGATCCATTTGAGTGACTGATATCACCGGAGGAATCTGCCAGGTAGGTGGTAGCTTAAGCTCGTACGCCATCGTTTGGCCTGCGAGCTACCTACCAACCATCCCAAGGAAACTCAACAGTGAATTCCACTCCAATATGGCCCATTTCGCCAATATAACAGCTTATGCGATTCATATTAGGGATAATAATCCGGACACCACTTCCAACAGCCACACAAAGGAAAAAAGGCGCGGTTAGTTTAGTGGTTAGAATCCTCGCTTCCCATCACCTCTTGGTCTAGCGAGGGACCCGGGTTCGAATCCCGGATCGCGCAATTGCGCCTGTTCCTTCTCTTTTGCTTTTTCTGCTTGTGGCTTTGATTGATATCTTGTGTGAGCGTTCTCTGCTGCTTTTTAGCTAATTGCAAATGGATTGGTGTAGGGGTAATCATCCCAGTTGTCGGGGGAGTTTCCCATGGTCCAATGATGTTATTCCAAACGTAGGCTTCCATGCAACACCAACCGACTGTGACAGGCACCGCCGTGAGGCTACATTCAACTCAAGGTCAAGAGCAATGAATGTTTAGAGGAAAGCCCCGGAAATTGCAGTCATCTGATTCTCAGGGACCATGGAGAGACAAGTTTCGACCTGGAACAGACTACCAACTAAGCCCTTGGCCTCGACGAAGCCAGATCCAGATGCAGCAGTGGCTTTTGAGGCTAGATGTCAAAAGTTCCACGAATAGCAGCAACACCACTTGCTCTGTTCCATGCTGTCGAGCAAAGAGCACTTCGTTCCAGGACGAGGACATACGGAAGAGAAGGGGGCTTGGCGGTGTGTTAGAAGCTATATAAAGTGATTTGCATCACCTCTGTTGGTGGACACTCGTTTGTGGCGATGTATTATCAGACAAGGGGGAAGCAATGACAGCTTTGACTGGCGTCAAACATTCTTTGCGGGAGATATGGTGTATATAGATCTGATTTCGACAATTTGACATTCCTATTTCCAGGGCCTGATTGTACCCCGTTCCGTAACGCAAAAAAACAAATCAGCTTAACAAATGAGAAAGGAGATGTTCATAACCTGCTGTGATATCATTCCACCCCAATGGCCTCTCAAACGCCCATCTTGCACCGCATCATTTGAGCGGAAGGATCAGAGTAACCCTTTTGCTCGATCGCACTCTTCAATAAAGCGGTATATGCCTTCGAGTCCTTCATAATCCCCTGAGTTGCTCGAACCAAGATCAAGTGGCGTGGCACTCTCATAGCCTTCTTCATAATCTTCCAGCGAGGACAAGTGCCAAGGGTTCTCTTCGATCTCCTTCACAAAAAACGCCTCTTCGATATCTGAAGACTCGGAATCGTGTGACCGAAGCGATCCCCCAGGGGAAGTTATTGTATTAGCACAGCTTCCACCTGGTGCAAAAGGGAACCGAAGCGCGACTGGCACCCCGGCACTGGCATCAAAGTCTGGGTCCTGCCCAATAACGCCCCGTTGGACACCGATGTCATCACACAAGCGTTCAACCGTTTGCGCGTCGACACCTGGAAATCGTATCCTCAGAACGTTGCCCTTTTCCAATGCGATTGGTAGGTCCCCCAGGTCAGCCACTTTCTTCAGATCAGTCATGACGGCGGCGAGATCCTTGAGGACACGCGCGAAGTCAACGGACAGAACGTCTAGAAAGCCTTCCTTATTGAGAGTGGTAGCGCCCTTGGCGGCAGCAGCTCCGAGGGGAAGAGCAGCACCGAGAGGGCTGAGAGCAGTGATCGTGGGACCAACCTGGAAGTCGATGAATGATCCAGGGGCATTTCGAGGGGTGTAACCCATGCGAGCACGCGCTGCCTCCTGAGTAGCACCTACAGCTCGATACCTCTTCTCGCCGTTGGGTCCAAGACCGTCATATCTTGCCCGCTGACCAGAAAGCCAGAAAGCCCTCATGGCTTGGCTCACATTCTGAACCACCTGAGCCGGAGCCGCGGGAGTATGGCTGAAGAATCGCGCTCCTCCAGTTCGTCCACAACCAGGCATCGCATATCCTCCAGCTGTTCTTGGAAGAGCACCACCGGTGAGATTGGGGCGAAGAGTGGATGCGAATGGTGCCCGAGAGGTGAGCTGGGCTACAGCTCGGGAAGTGTTGGAGATGGGAAGCTTGGAACGATCAAAGCGGAAGCCACTGGCATTCGATTGACCGGCATTGCCGGTGCTGAGGTAACGACGAACGGCAGCGTTGAAGTTGGCAGTAGAATACCACTTTGATCCTCCGGCGCGCTTTTGCTGACGCAGAAAGGCCGCAGGGTGAATAGGCTGGCGCGGGTTGCTTCGAATGGCGATGGGTTGAAGTTCAGCAACAGTGGCTCGGGTGGCGGCGAGCTTGGAGCGGACGAGCTTGGCCACCATTTTGGAGGTGCTTGCGAGATTCTTGCGAAGTGCTCGCAGTGCGGCCGTAGCCAGCACGCCTCCGGCGGACGGAGACATGGTGGCTTGAAACAGTCGCTGAAGTTTCAGTGCCTGTTCGAGCAGAGAGGCCTCGTGGATGATGAGGAAGCAAGAGGATGTTCAGAGGAGGCGGGTGCACCGCCTTACATACGTAGATCAGTTATCGATAAGCGTTTCGCCACGGCAGATGTGCCTTGCCAAGAATGATGGCAACTGGGGTCAGGTGGAGCGCCAAGGTTCGTTGCTAGCGAATGGATCTGCAACTCCCGGGGAATGCACTTAACGAGAGCGTCTTCCGGACTATGCATCTATCGCGTTGTACCGGATTATTTATGGGTCGCCAGTTGAAGCGGCCGTTCCCTTATCTTATCGAGCCCCCACAGCGATTGGTTTTTTAATAGCTCCAAAATTTTCCCCAAGCTCGCAAAGCTTTCCCTTCTCCCACAACACCACGCAGAGGAAAGCGCGCACGTCGCATTTCCTCGGCTTCGACCTCCATTTGGCAAGGTAAGCTCATCTTCTCATTAATTCCTTCTGCACCAAAGACCGCTCCTATGATGATATCACAAATCATTGAACAATCCAACTCCGACCACGCCGTGGGGATAACCTTTCGACTGAGAGCACACGAATCGCAACAAATTGTCTGGAGCGGGTGTTTTTCGCGACAGGTGCTAACGTCCTTCCAGTGTCGATGGAGATTCAATTGCCGACCAATTCAACTTGAATCATCCCTCACCAACAACTTCGTCTCAAAAGGTTCGTCGACTTTTTCTTTCTTTCACCCTCCTGCCTTGGTGATGATAGAAAACCAATAGGAATTCCTCATTCTTAATAAACCATGTGGAATCACCGTTATATAAGTTTCAGCCTTGTCTGACTTTGGCACCGCTTCTCGATTGTCTACTGCCTCTTGTTTCATCGCAGCGATGCTAACGTTCAATCGTGCAGGTATGCTCAAGCCCATTCTCTCTCCACATCCCAAGACACCATGACGAAGATTTGAACGAACGGGCGGACATAAACGAAGCCTCTCTGGCTCTCTTCATCAAAAGCGGGACTGTACATCCTGTGAGGGGGGTTGGAGAGAAATTCTTGTTGAGAACTCGTCACCTGATTGTGCCGTTGTCTTTTCGCTTGACAAACGCTTGCCAGGACATGAGCCGTTGACTAACATTGCCGTGCTCAGGTAATTCATTCTCCCTCTTCTTCTTGGCTGGCAACACTATCAATATGATGATGCGATATTCACACTGTTTGATCCGCCTTCGGGTTGGAAATGAACATATAAACAAAATCTGATTTAATGAGGTATGTTGGACCCTGGCTCCTTGCCAGAGAGGTCATTCGCTAACATGATACAGCCTGAGACTTGATAACGAAACAACGACTTCGTTTACTGGACCAAGTTTTGGAATCCATGCTGACCAACTTTGGTGGTCAGGTAATATCGTAGCGTCACGAGCTCTCACCTTGACTGCAAAGATGTAAGCATCTTCTCTCGCTCTCCCCTTCACTGCTTTCTTCCCTGCCTTGCGGATGATACCCTTTCCTACCTGCATTTGACTCTGAGTTCATTCTGATGAGACAATTTTCACCTTGGAGAACTGATGAGGTTCTTCATGTGCTTTCATGACACCATTCCTTTTGCTGGACTCTGCTGACTGTCCTCTAGTGTTGTTAGTCTTTTGGTCGGATGAGGTTCGGGCTGGTGTAGATATATCATGGTGGCTTTTGCTGCTATCAATACAATGACTTTGTCACAACTTTCTGTTCTCATGCTTCTGTCCGTGTGTTTGGTGATGTTGCCCATGTCTTGCAAGAGCTGTCTTGATCTTTGGGACGGTGGCTCTGCATGACGGGTCTGTTGTCTGTGTTGACGGTAGTAGGCCCAAGACGTGTTGTTGTTCCACGCAATAGCTGTATGTATCTTACACCACACCGTGTTGAACCTGGAAGCTTTGCATCGGTCCTGCCATGATCAACTGAGCTCAAGATCAACAGCACCACACATTGTCATGTTGGGTCCCAATGGTAAACCACTCTATTGTCAATTTGTCTTGCTGATCAACAGCTGTCCCGCCGCCATATTTAGGATTAAAGGTTCTTGTCCCGTTCAGAGTTCTACTCTGTAATAGTGTCCTCCTCCTCCTCCCCCGAGGAAAGAAGTCCGGTTGTTGCCATCATTTAATACCCAACCCCCCCAACTCTTGGTAATACTTACTGCACTCCTCACATCTCATCTCTTCGGCCATGAGCAACAACTGAGCCCTCTAGATCTTCAGCTGCAACCTGGCATTCCACCCGACAATACACCTCACCAAATCCCAATCACCCCCATGCCCAACCCAATCCGTCACCACCACCCCAGTCGCCGCATCCCCCACCACCTTATCACCCAAACTCCCCTTCCCTTCCACAGCATGGTTCCGACAAAGATACTCAACCATCCTCGGATTGACCTTTCCCGCAATACGATCCGGCCAAAGACTCGAGTTGAAAAAGCTGGACGCCGACAAAAAGTTGATATAAAGCGGCATCTCCTCCCTCTGTGCCCTCAACTCCTCCACCCCACACGGCAACCTCAAGCACATCCTCGCCGACCTCTCCAGCTCCCGACAAGCATAGTCAATCTTGCTCTCAATCTGCTCCACCCTCCCAACCTCATAAAAATCCTGTATCCTGATCCTCCCCGAACCGCAAACCCCATCCGCCACATTATCCGGCCATACTGACCCATCAATCCCCCCCTCCTCCTCCCCCAGCCCCTCACAACAATACCTCCTGACAAGCACCACCTTCCCCCTCACCTCCCCCAGACTGGGTATCCTCCCCTTCGTATACCACCTATCACTCCCCAGATACCACTTTCTCAAAATCTTCCCAAACAACTGATCACCTCCCCTCCCCGTCCCCTCCCTTTTCAGTGACATCATCACCGTCTCCGTCGGCCTCTCCTCTAGGAAACAATAAACCTCCTCCAGCAACCCACTCAAATACCTCGCCCCGCTCAGCGCAACAGGAAAAGCAGCATGCACTAACGCCAGCTCCGGCCTCTCGGGCTGGTCGACATCCAAATTAGGGCAGTTGACCCTCACGTCCAAAAACCTAACCCCATTGTCCAGCTGCTCCGTCACGGTCACCGCCTGGCATCGCACGCTAGGCAAGGCCACATGACATGTAGCACTGTTGTGCGTGCCGGGTATGCTCAGCGAACTGAGCGGTATCTCATCCGGCAGTTTTGACATCCAGCTCGCAAGCTGCGCAGAGGAAAACAGGGCGAGGTAAGGCACATGAGGGAGGTAAATCGCGGTAATCTCCTTGGCCGTGGCATTGTTCTCACCGATAAAAACCAGCTCGATGGATTTTTCGGATAAGCCCGGTATTTCGCAGGTGTATCTGTTGGATGGGCAGGTTGTTTCTGAAAAGGTGAGACGGAGCTGCTCCCCTTGGTGGTGGCAGTCTTCTGACGGGGGGAAGACGGTCGTTGGGGATTCCATAAAGGGCGCCAAAGGGACGGAGAGGGCCTGGCTGGCGGTTACGAGCCGGGGTTTTGGGTCGTGGTGGAAGGGGTTGTTGCATCCGGAGTTGTTGTTGGAAGAGGCGGGGGAGGAACGGCCGCCCCGGCCGGCAATCATGCGGGTGATGTTATTCAGCCCGAGGTTGCTCTCCTGGGGGAGGACGATGAAGGCGGGTGGTGGCTCGAGGCGCTCGACGAGCGTGAGCTCCAGGGGTGTGATGGTGAGGTTGCGGATGGTGATTGTTTCGGGGGGCATGGCTACTACCTGGCAGTGCCGGGGACGGGAGGTGTTGGAGCCCATGGTGGGTGGTGGGAAAAACGGGGGGTATATATATCGACGACGAAACGGGGATCAATGCGTTCCAAGTGTAGGGTTGGATGGGGGTGATAATAAATGAGTGGGAAATGTATGATGATTAGAGATGGGATACTATGCTCATGATTACGCAAAAGACGACAAGTTGCAGAATGTTGTTGCGAACTCCAAGAAAGTTGGTGTTCTTGAATATCAGATGGCGCCCAAAGCTCAAGCACAGCCCCTTGGGGACGATCGCGACTGCTTTGCCCAACGGTTCGTCGAAGCTGATTGGGTGACCCGGTTCCAAGGCGGTGGCTTTCAGCTGATTGCAGATCTCGGATCGCACCGCTCCTTCCACGTTCAAACGTCGGCAAGGCTGAGGCGGAGGCTGAACGAGGCTTGTTTTGATTGAAATGAGGTTGGCCAGGAGCTTCAAAAGAACCCTAACATCATCAACGCTCAAGGGGTTCAGGATTACATAAGCTAACCCCCATCTTTAGCACCATCTGCAACGACATCTCTTGATTTGGGAAGCACTGATGAAATTGATGGGACATTCATAGGATATACTCCATAGTTGTTTAAATCTTTGAGATATGATCAGCCTTGCTGGAACTATCTACCGTGAAGAATACTGTGGGTGACCAAACACACACCATTCAAAAAGGGAAGAAGATGTAAGACCCGTATCTGTACCATAACGAGCAACTTCATCGTTACGGCTTTTTCGAGGCCTCTTGATTAGTCTACGGCATACGGGCTATCAAGATAGCCCTAGACTCACCAAACATAGAGCATGTGCGTTTGGTGAGCTTTTCTAGCCGGTTTGCAGTGAATTGCGCTGTCAAGGAAGCACCGGAATCCATCACAATCAGTCGCTACTCTCCAAGAGCATGAAGCTCTACGTACCGAGATCCAGACTCGGCCGACCGGGCAGAAACGGGAACAACCGGACCCGAGAGTGTTTTACCAGCTCCTATCCCGCGACCCTCCACCGGATATATGCGAGATACTGGCGATTCACAACTGTGTCCTCGCCCGACACGCACCAAGGCCATCGTTACAGCCGGACCACTCAAGCCCAAGCCCTGGAGCTCCGAAGGTCCTGTCCGTGAAATATAAACAGACTGCCACCCCTGAGGTCGCAGACGGCACTGGTTGCCGAGTCTCGGATATGTTTGCTGGAGCCTCAGAATGCTACCCACCACACCGGGCGCCAGCAGTTTGGTCCTTCCGGCTCCTCTATCCGAAAAGCCCAGCGGGCTTGTCCCGTCAGCCTTGTTTATCATGCAGGAACAATTTGATGAAAAGAGCGCCACCCCGGGTCCGAACTGCAGTACTGCACCGATGGCCCGCGACAACGTCCCGGGTCAGCCCATACTGCAAAAGCACCCGTATTTAGGTGCAAATATCCCCAGCACCTGGTAAATGTTGTCCCAGCGCGGAGGTTGCGCGTTTGGAATCGGACGTCCGTCAGTTGGTAATTAAATCCAAGTCGGAGATAGCTGGGTAAATTTAGCCGCCAATATCAGACTCTCAGCGAGCAGCATCTCTGCCCACCGCAAAGCCCAAGTCCGGTTGAAACCAAGGGGAATAGCATCGTAACCACCAACGAAACCTGTGTATAAGTAGAAACGAGATGGCAAGCCAAAGGATCATCTTCAGCAAGCTCATCAGCCTTCATCAGCATCCTCTAGCATTCATCAGCAGACTCGCCAGTCCTCACCACCGCCAACATGCGCTTCTCCGCTCTTGCCATCGCCGCCCTCGCCACCTCGGCGACGGCCTTTCCCACCTTGGGCTCAATCTTCTCCCGCCAGGCTGAAAAGGCCTGCATGACTGAGGCTGAAGCCAAGGAAATCGTCGACATCTATGTCCGCCTCATCTCCAACTACCAGCCTGAGGACTGCGAGAAGTACTGCGCTTCCGACTTTGTCGACCGCTCCGACAGCATCAACACCTTCATCTTCCGCCCTCTCGGCGAGCCCACCTTCGCGACCAAGGAGATCTTCATGGAGGCGCAACTCTCCAACCCTCCCTTCCCTGTTGTTGTCGACGTGGTCGACGCCGTCGCCTGCGAGGCCATTGCGCTCCGCTGGCACGCTACTTTTGGCGCCGCCAACCTGCCCAGCAGAGGCATCACCATCATCGGTACCACCAAGCGCGAGGGTCACTGGCAAATCCGGAGCCTCGACCTCGAGTTCAACAGCTTGATCTGGCTCCTCAACATGGGCGGCTCCTACGTGTGGGAGGGCTAAATGTTTTCGGTCGGAAATCCTGGTGATGCCAAGTTCTTAGACTTGATATTGGTTGGGTCTAGAGGGAAGACTGGTAAAAATGAGGGATCATATGGGGCAAATACGAGACCCGGTATGGTTTGGATAGGGTTGTAACGCATAACAGAAGACTGTGCTGTCAATAGAGAAAACCACTCAATCTGAGTCTCAAGAATGGTTCCCCGCGTCTATGCCTAGTTTTGTGTGACCATATGGCATAAGTCGAGTAAACACAGCCCCAGGGTAAGATCTGTGCATGCAAGGTGTGATCGTGTATAACCGTTGTTGCCCCAGATTCTGCCCAATGGAGCCGAGTACCAAAGGCCGTTCCAGAGTCAACGGCGTATCCGAGGAAGGATCTGGATTCATGATTTCGCTCCAAGTTTGAGACATCGTCGCAGGATGTCATGGTGACGGCAGGTTTCGTGGGTGCTGAAATAAGTGCAGCGGTCTGGCAGGCGTCATTGCGTCTCGCAGGGCTGCAGGTTGAACAGCAGCATCCAGAGCAGCGGGACCCTGCAGCTGTCGAAAAGTTCGGACGAATCCCGGGACAAATCGCTGTCGGCTGTGATCGCGTCACTCGGGGTTGACTCAACACTCTTCGTCATGTCCAAGACGACCGAGGCCAAGAGAGGGCTGGTGGTCAGCATTGTGCTCAATATCCCATCTATATGAGGATATTGTTTGGGCGCAGCGAATCGAAGTAGAAATTCTGGTGGGCTGAATGGGACATGTCCGACGACGCGGTACTACTGCTCGCCAGAAGTCGACCGATGGCTAGCAGCGCCAATGCGCATGAGCGTTCTGTTTGGCCATGGTTTTCGGGCACGGCTGACGGCTGAAGGGTTGTCTCTTGTTCGTGTGGAAAAAGTGCAAAACCTGGATCACAAGTTGACGGCTGTTTTTGTGTCGTTGAAGAAAAGGGCCAAGGCAAGAAAAGATCATCGGCATTTCGTGAGCCGTAGTGTCAATAGAACGCCCGTGAATCCCCAAAATGGAAGCTGTTGTCGCTGGTTTAAACGTGCGCGCCAAACCCTGATCCGCCAACGTCAACGAGAAGCTTATTCGCCATTTCCCCTGAAATCGACCACTAATGCCCCACATGCAAACAGGGTACAAGCCAGCCTGTTGGTTCTGCTCCAACGCCCTGTGGCTCCACCTCTTGTGAAGACTCACACGGCTGGCCATGCGATTCGCTGGAAATGGATGCCCCTGAGCTGGGGTTCTTCATTTTTTGCCGTGGCAACCTGACCCAGAGAATCAAGACTCCATTTCTGCCCGGTTTTCTTGCCATTCCAGCCGCTCATCGTGAGACCCTTTGTTTTGACGACGGTCCAAGTTCCAGCACGCCGAGATCTGGGCAGGGTGCCTCCCGGCAAATGGGATGAACGTGCAAAGCTTCCCGTGGTTCTAGAGGATCATGTGGATTCAGAGGCAGGCAGAAGCAAATTTGCCCGGTTTAAGCGGACCTGCAAAGGATTTGTGAGAGTTCTGGGTAGGTTTCATTTAGCAGAAAGGCGCAGCACCCCCAGGCCGCCCCCCCGCCAGTCAGCCGTCCACCCACTCCTGCACCACCACTGCACAATATCTCTCTCGGCACCGTCACATTGGAAGCCTTCTTCCTCTCTTCTCTTCTTTTTTCTCTTCTCATCCACACTTGCGCCTCTTTTGACACCTCTTGCGTGTGTGCTACCTCTTGGTTTGCTAGTCGCGGCCGTTCACTCTTTCACCCACATATATTGTGTCCATCGCCAGCCTTCCGGCTCCTGTCGCTCTCTATCTCCACATTCTTTCCAGTCTCTCGTTCAGACACCCTTTTGCCTTTTCGCAGATCATTACTTAGGATACCTTGTAATATCTTCATAAACGACCCTCACCACAGCCAGTCAAGATGCGTTACTCCGTTGTCACTCTTCTCGGCCTCGCCAGCGCTGCCCTGGCCCAGTGGGATCCCACTGATGGTTTCAACGTCGTCTCCAAGCCTTCCTTTGACGAGGTCATCCCCGCTGGCAAGGCTTACGATATCGCGTGGGCCCCGACTGAGGAGTTCCCTGAGGCCATCACCATCAAGCTCTATGGCGGAAAGGCCCGTAACAGCCTAGACGTCGTGGCCACCATCGCCTGTATGTGATCCTTGCGCCGCCCACTGCTTGTCCCTTGCTGACCATTTTTACGTAGCTGGTGTCGATAGTGCTGAAGGCACTTACAGCTGGGACGTCCCCGCTGACTTGGGCTCTGCCGTTGTCTACGGTATCCGCATCGATTCGGAGACCAACAGCACCAGGTTCCAATGGGGCAACCCCTTCACCATCAAGGCGGGCAAGGCGACCCTCACTACCAGTGCAAGCACTGCTTCTGCTACCGAGTCCAGCGTCACCAGCACCAAGGCTAGCTCAGCCACGTCCTCTGTTGAGACCAAGACCACCTTGACCACCACCTTCTCCGCCAACACCTCCACCACCACCGCTCCCGCCGAGACCACCGTCACTTCCGTGATCGACGAGGAGGAGGTCACCACCACCACTGCCGCCGCTACTACTTCGTCCACTGCCATTCCTACAGGTGCCGGTGTTCGTGCCGTTGGTGGCGCCAGCTCTTTTGCCCTTCTCGGTGGTGTCGCCCTCGCCGTCCTTGCTTTCTAAGCGCACGGTCTAATTGCCGTTGCCGGAGTTTTTGCCAGTTTTTGGTTTTTGGTTGTTCATGTTCGTGTATCTAGTTGGCGAAAAAAACATAGGGGAGTTGAAGCATTGGATCTTATGGTAATGTTCCTAGCATCTGAGCGAGAATTCCTGGGAGGAAATGTGTCTTTGGCTTGTTCTCCATCGAGGCTTCTTCACAAAAATGGATACCCTTATTAATCGCTCACCTTCTCGCCCTCGCTTTTTTTGCACCTTGTGTTGCTTCCCCTCATTGCCTGCTCAAATCGTGTTCGGTGGGCCGTTTCGAGTTGCCATTTCGGATACCTGCGTGAGGCTTTCACCCGCGTTTCAGGTATCAAGGATATTCCCATCTATGATGGCTACCTGCTCCTGGGATCCTTGCTATTGACGGTGTTGCAGACAGCGTGGAAATTGGCATCTAATACCATGATATCGACCATAAAGGGATCTCGACGACATCGATTCGGCTCTGCTTCTCTCTGACATGGTGCGTGGCGGGTGCCGAGCTCCGTTGTTGTCACTGCAGGTGATGCATGGCGCTATCTGTAGCGCTTGCTCGCATCTGGATTGCAGGTGTCATCGGAGACTTGAGAACGGCCAGCAGAGACATGACAGCGCACGGTGAGGTCGAGGCAAGAGGCTCTGAGGCTCAACTCGGTCCCGTCTCTTGTTCAGAAGTCCGGGCCGTACCTGTCCGGTTCCTGCATGCTGATAGTCGACCTTATCTTGAAGTCAATTGATTGATACCGAAACAAGCACGGTCCAGGAACCAGGGGCCAGCATCGCGGGAGCGGTGAGACGGCGAGCTCTGAGGGGGACCGAAGTGCGGGGCAAGCACCTCAGTTCGAACCACTCTCTGAGGTTGCTGCGACCTCACGACAGACCAACCGTTTGCTGCGCACGAAAGTTCCCGATACCTTCCTCATCCAAAGAGAGCTGCGACAGCTCAGTCTAGACCCACTTGACTTTCCCCTTCTCAGGGGACCGGCTGCATCCCGCCAGCCCACAAATCTCCACGTTGGGGCAAGCGGCGAGAACTTCCTCTACCACTTCCGCAAAATTCACCACCTGCCGACCTCCTCTTCCTGGATTGTTATTCTCCGCCGCGCTGAGCGCTCCGAAATCTGTTTTTCCTATTCTGCCCTTCCAGCACCTTTTTTTCGTCGTCAATCCGTCAAGATGAGAGGCGAGGTAAGAAAAACATGGACATTGTTGATTTTTGACTTTCTGGCCTGCATGATCTCGGCTCCGCGATTGCTTCAACCCGAGCGACCTGAACCCTGCCGTCTGCTCCTGTTGCGATGCGATATCGCGAAAGCGACTCTGCCAAATATCTCGACCTGCGACCAATTCTGGTGTTTTTGTGTTGCCTGGGCTATTTTGCGTCTCTCTGAGCTTCGTCTGGCAGTGAAATAAACAACATGCGGTATCCTGGTCGGCTTGGTGGTCTCTTAGATAGCAACGCGAAACCGAAGCTGTATTTCGTTGCCCGCCAGCTATGCTTGCGACATAACCCAAGGGGCACTGATAAATGTACGCAGCGGTGATGTATAGCCATGCTGACAATGTCGCCTACAGGTTCTCCATCTTCATCTGGGTCAGGTGGTGCCCAGCTGGGTAACAGTGCTTGGGAACTGCAAGTCCACACCGCCTTTGTATCCATCGCGATATCTCCAGCTAACATCGTCCCTCCAGGTACCTCCTTGAGCACGGCCTCGGACCTGATGGCCGCCCTGATCCCAATGCCACCATTGCTGAGGGTGGTTCCTTCGACACCTTCTTCACCGAGACCAGCAACGGCAAATACGTCCCCAGGTCTCTCTTCGTCGATCTCGACCCTTCCCCCATTGATGAGATCCGTACCGGCAACTACAGACAGCTCTTCCACCCCGAGACTTTGATCAGCGGCAAGGAAGATGCGGCCAACAACTATGCTCGTGGTCACTACACCATTGGCAAGGAGATGATCGACCCTGTCATCGATCGTATCCGCCGTGTTGTTGGTAAGGATGGCCCTGTACCGCTTCTTGTCCAAGACGCATCCTTCTAATCCAGCATCATACAGACAACTGCAGCTCCCTCCAAGGTTTCTTGATCTTCCACTCATTCGGTGGTGGTACCGGCTCTGGCTTCGGTGCTCTCCTCTTGGAGCGCCTCTCGACCGACTATGCCAAGAAGTGCAAGCTCGAGTTCACCGTTTACCCGGCCCCCCGTGTTTCGACTGCTGTCGTCGAACCCTACAACGCTGTTCTTAGCACCCACAGCACCATCGAGAACTCTGACTGCACCTTCTTGGTTGATAACGAGGCTGTGTATGACATCTGCCGCCGGAATCTGGACATTCCCCGGCCGAGTTACGAGCACCTGAACCGCCTGATCGCTCAGGTTGTCTCTTCCATCACCTCTTCCCTCCGCTTCGACGGTGCCCTCAACGTCGATTTGAACGAGTTCCAAACCAACTTGGTTCCCTACCCTCGTATTCACTACCCTCTTATCAGCTATGCTCCTGTCATTAGTGCTGCCAAGAGTGCTCATGAGAGCTTCAAGGTTTCTGACCTGACCTTCCAGTGTAAGTTTTGACCCTTTGATCTGCTCAGAAGAGCTTTTGCTGACATGGTTCTCTAGGCTTCGAGCCCAACAACCAGATGGTCGTCTGCGATCCCCGCAAGGGCAAGTACATGGCCGTCGCCCTCCTCTACCGCGGTGACGTTGTCCACCGCGACTGCTCCGCTGCCGTTGCCCAGCTCAAGGCCAAGTCCTCCTTCAACCTGGTCGAGTGGTGCCCCACCGGTTTCAAGATCGGCATCAACTACCAGAAGCCCGTCGCCGTCCCCACGGCCTCTCCCTCGGACGGCGGTCTCGCTTCCGTCGACCGCTCCGTCTCCATGTTGTCCAACACCACGGCCATCGCTGAGGCTTGGTCCCGCCTGGACTACAAATTCGACTTGATGTACAGCAAGCGTGCCTTTGTGCACTGGTACGTTGGTGAGGGCATGGAGGAAGGCGAGTTCAGCGAGGCCCGTGAGGACTTGGCTGCGCTGGAGAAGGACTACGAGGAGGTTGCCCAGGACTCGGTTAATGACGAGGAGCTCGAGGCTGAGTACTAAGCGAGGATGGCGACAGGAGGTAATGTGTCGCAAGTCGGTTTGTTTGGGAGCTGGCTGGATATGTTGTGTTCTGTCGAGATTTTATTTTTCTTTACTTGTGTTCGTGATGAGATATGGGACGTGATTATGAAATGGAAAGAGATGTTTATGCGAGTTGAATTGTTTTTACCCCCTGATGCCCTTTGGTGTTTTGTATTTTCTGAGGTGGGCAAAAAGAGACGAGATAATCCCCCCTTTTCAACAGACATAAAAGCAAGCAAGTAACATGGAATGTGGAAGCAAAGTAAGCTAAAGGTTCAAGGGTGATTTTCTGCGTCGGTTTATAGGCCATTGCCACTATTTGTTTGTCAGGTGTGCTCTCTGTGTAGGTATTTACCTCTCTAGAGTCTATGCATAGAAGGTTGAGCAGATGATATGGTAGTGGGGGGAGGGTGTTATAATTGAAGTCGAATGTTTAGGGACCCTCGGAGATCTTAGTGGTCAGGGAAGCTTAGTTCCGTATCTACTCGAATGTGGGTTGATGCTTCTTCTTGAGTACGATGTGCTGGGATATGTACTATGGGTGATATCACTTTTCTATTTAAAATGATTGTGGTTAATGTAGAAGGATGGTGGAATAGGATATGGAGATGGTTTGAGTAATGGCTGAGAAAGTTGGTCTATCTTGATGTTGTGAGAGATGGGTTGTGAGAGATGGGGTTGTGAGAGATGGGGTTGTGAGAGATGGGGTTGTGAGAGATGGGGTTGTGAGAGATGGGGTTGTGAGAGATGGGGTTGTGAGAGATGGGGTTGTGAGAGATGGGGTTGTGAGAGATGGGGTTGTGAGAGATGGGGTTGTGAGAGATGGGGTTGTGAGAGATGGGGTTGTGAGAGATGGGGTTGTGAGAGATGGGTTGTGAGAGGGGGATTTGCAAGAACCAGAAAGAGTATTCCCGAGATAGATAATTGAAAATGAGTGGTGTAAGGGTTTGAACAACATTATCGTGATCATGGAGATGAGGCAACTGTGAATAAGCAAGGTGGGTTGTGAGTAAACTTGTACCATTTGAGGGATTATGATATGGCGTGTACTGTATTTTAGCTCAACGGAAAGCCGTCAACACACTTTACTTATCACCAGGGTCCCGTTCAATAACTGACACTTTGACTGATTTAATTGAGTGCATCTGCACCTCGAATGAGCTTTTTCTACAGCAAAAAAATTCCAGCCAATGCATGTAGGACCTGTGGGACCATGTCCGCTTCCGAGCTGCTACTGCAAGGCATCAATCACCTCAGAACCTCAACCATGACATACCACCTCCGCCGACCGCCCTTCGTCTCTATCTTGGGCCACCACCCATTAACCTTCGCCTGTTAACTACGAAATTTGCCGCAGTTTTATTTCTTTGCGCCACCTTCCCTCCACTTGGCCGCTCTCGCAGCACCTCTGCCAGTCGGGCCACCTGGGCCCGTCTTCTTCTTGTACCCTCTCTTCTCACCATTTCTGGCACCCTTGAACTTCAGGTCTTTTGGCTTTCCGTCCTTGGCACTTGCGCGTTTACCCTCAAAGACAAAGTCTTCTGGTGGTCTAATGCCACTAGGTTGGCTTTGCGGAGCACCAGCTGACTCCCGACGAGGCCTGTCTTTCCTGTCCTTTTTCTTGTCCCCGCCAGTCAACTTGGCAGCACCGCCTCTACCAAGCAGCTTACCCGCTCTGCCAGCCAATGTCTTGTCTTCGGGTGTGATCTTGGGGACATAGCTGGAGCCCTTCCTGCCCTTGCGATCTCCCTTTGATGGGGGACCAGCCTTGCCGTGCTTCGCCTCCAAAGCCCTGGCCGTCTTGTGAAGAGCCTTGCATCTCGATACGCGGAGCTCGCGGGGGAGCATAGGGGGAAACTTCTTTCCTTCCAGCAGAATGGCCTTCTCGACGTCGTTTCCGTCATAGAACTGGACATAAGCAATGCCCTTGCCGACACGGGTGACGTTGTCTCTGACAACCCGGACGCTTTCGACCTTGCCGGCCTCCTTGCCAAAGACGCGCCACAGCCCCTCCTCGACATCCATAGGCTGCTTGGTCCTCTTCTTCTTCGTAGTCGTTTGGTTACCCTCGTCATCAACCTTGACGTTCAGTACAGTCTCATCGTCAACGAAACCGAGGTTGCCAACAAAAACGCAGCGCTTATGGTCGACGGGGGCTGGATGGGCGACACTGTCCACTCTGAGATGGCGGTCCAACACCACAGTGCCATTCAACTTCTGTACTGCAAGACGAACGGCCTCAGGGGTGCTGTAGACAGCATAGGCATTGGTGCACTTTGTTGTCGCCTCCATAACCTCCTTCTTGATGAACGCCGCACGCTTAGGGATAGCAGCAGTGGCAAAAGCTGTTGAGCGGAAGCGGATAGATTCCACCTTCTGGGGAGGGTCGGCTTTCGGATCCAAAATCGAGGCAAGGTGCTTTAAAAGAGTCTTCTTGGCTGTGCGCGAAGTGGTCGCCTCCAAGGAGACGTTGCTGAGGAATACGGTGCGGTTTGCCTTCTCAAGCTCTGAAGCTGCATCGTTGGCTGTCAGAGATTCGTGCTTGGGGACCTCGGCGTCTGAGTCCAAGTCTGAGTCCTTGTCGCCGGTCTTCTCAGTCTTCTCAACGGCCGCAGCCTTCCCGTTCGCATCCTTGCGCCGTTTCCCAGATCGCTCCTCCTCATCATCCTCCTGAAGACGCTCAAAGTATTTGGCCTCAAGATCTTCGTCATCATTCCGTTGTTTCCGCTTTCTCTTACGTCCATCCTCCTCCTCGGCCTTACTTTTTGCTGCTGCTGATTCCAAAACCTCTGCGGCCTCGGCCTCGTCATCCACGCTCATGCTATCGCTGGCGTCATCTTCGTCTTCGTCATCTTCGTCGTTTTCGGAGTCGTTATCATCCTCTTCGCCAGACTCTTCGCTGGCTTCCATATCAACAAGATCTTCAAGGTCGGCACCATCCTCTGGTTCCGAGAGTTCTTCGTCATCCTCATCCTCGTCCTCCTCGTCCTCATCTTCTTCGTCCGACTCTTCAGGGGCGTCATCTGACTTCGGGGGTGGCAATTCGGAATAGCGAGACTTCGGGGGCGCTTGAACTGGGCCAGCCTAGAATATGGTCAGCAACTGCTTCAACGAAGCGAAGGTATGTGATTGACACTAACACTGGTGGAAAACAAAGAGTCAAGGGCTGGGTCGACAGCCTTGGAAGGCGCTGAGAGAGATTTGCTGTAGATAACCAAGTTAGCAAACTTGACTCTTCAATTGCAGGTTCAATGGCCTGTTGCCCACCTTTTCGCCATGGTGTTGATGAGGTTGAGCTTCGAGCCCACAATGCGCAAGCGACAAAGATATCGATGTTGTCGAGAAAATAAAGCGCAAAGGGTATTAGAAAGCTACAATGAGTTTCTTTCTCGAAGTAGCGAGCGAAAAAGTCTTGTTTCGGTGTTCAAGCAGCTTTCCTCCAAATTTTTGGGAGAAATCGACAAACGGCCTCTTGCTTGGACCCCCGGCGCAGAGCAAAAGTGGGGACCGCATCCAGGAAAATTCGCTTATCGGAGCTTATCGATACTGCCGCTCTACGCCGCCTCGTCATCCGCTGGAAATCGGGCAGGCGGGCAGGCAACGGAAGCAGCGGGCCCCATCCGCCCATTTGTGTTCCCTCCCAGTGCTTCTGGGTGCCGCATTCCCAGCTTCTGGTCAATAGCCACCACCGAGCACCACACATCTGCCCACACAGCACACCACCGCCTATATTTTGCAATCTGAACACAGATACCTGCGTGCCCGCTTGCCCTGTATTCTGCGGCACTCTTTTTATATCCACAGCTCGTTCCTCACCACCTCTACTCATCGCGCAACCCCGTTCTGGCATCGAGCTGCCCGCTCGTGAAGCCGCCAGTCAATTTTGCGCGGTCGTCTCCTTTCGGCCACCTACAACGCCGACCACCAACATCGCAACACCCCTCGGTTGCCTTTTATCAGAATCGCATGGTTTGCAATGGCCACCGGTGACACCGTTTTGCCTTTGGCAGTGTCGAGCCCTCCTCCACACCTGCTGGACAACAGCCCCAGCAACCTCTCGAGTCCTTTGAGCGAGGTCGAGGACAAGTACGGCGATCATGACGAGCCGGATCTTGAAATGAAAGATGACGAAAGCAATGCACAGAGCACACCCAAAAGAAACGGAGCTCATGGCGTACCGGAATCCGATCTCGCTTCAGAGCCAGACGAGGACAGCAAACTGTCCGAGGTGGACGTCAATGACTCCGAAGCAGAAACCGAAAGATTATTCGATACACCTCCCAAGAACGGCGCGACACGCGACATTGTGAACGCCGCCGATGGTGCGGGAACCCGACGATTCACCGATCGGCGCGAGCGGGTCTTTGAGCGAAGCCCCAGCAAGCTCCAACAGCAGCTCCAAGCCGACATAGACGCTGAAGATACTCCCACCGCGAACAATAGTTCCGAGGATGAGGAGGCAGCAGATGACGGCGACGTGTCAATGGCATCGAGTGATCGCGAGGACGAGCCCACAAAGAGACCATCACGACAGCTGCCACCACGGTCGCCTACACAAGCCAAAAAGAACCAAATAATCACATTTACCAAACAACCGGTATCACAAGCCAACAGCGATGATTCGAGCGAGTCTAAGAAACGAAAGCGATCCTCGGTTGTCGAGCTACCAGAAGCCGAGCAGCCTCCCAAGAAGCGAGCTGCCTCGATTGACCCCGCCGACCGCGAGTTCTCCGCCGGTGACGTCCCGATGGTTGACGATGATGTGCTATCGACGGCTCCGCAAAGCGGGGAACATACCGCCGAGGAGGATAACATTGAGGAACCGGTCGTCCCCGAGGAGGTCAAAAACACACCCGTGGAGTCTGTTGAAGAGGCCGTTGCGACGTCAACTAGAGGCAAAAAAGGGAAACGCAGTCCCGTGAAACGACGAAAGAGCAAAAGTCCTGAAGCTGGCACACCTTTGGAAGCTCCAGATGAGCCACCCGAAGATGCCGACGTTCCCAGTGGTGTGCCGACGCCTCAGCCAGAGGATCGCACGGCCGACGAAATCGACGAAGAGGCCGAGGCAGCACACAGAAACGAAGAAGAGTGTAAGCACTCTGCACACTGGTTATGATAGGTTGACGAAACTAATGTTTGGCCGCAGTGGAGCGCAAAAAGGCAGCCTGGGAAGAGCTTGCCGCCATTGAGAAGCAATTCTCCAACTTTCGAGAGCGGTACGGTTTTCAAGGTCTCAATTGGATGGTGCTGTTTCTAACTTGTGACAGTCTATACCAGGAACGCTTAGACCAGCTTAACCGCGAGGAAGAGATGCTGCTGAGTGACACTCCTACACATCACGAACTCCTCGCAATGCTACAATGTCTCGAAGAGCGCCGAGCGGAAACAATACGGAAGAGCAACCTCGAATTGCAGTTCAAAATGTCTGTACTCAACCATCGAGCGGTCGCAGAGCGGGCACAAATCATGTCGCAGTTCTATCAGTCTGTGCGGGCCGAAAGAGAAAAGACAATTGAGGGTCTTGGCCAAGACTGGTACGACATTCAACAAGAAAGAAGACGGTTGACAAGTGTCATTCCGGAATACGGCCTGGGGTTCCCAGCAACAAAGGCCCAGGCCGTCAGACAAGCCGTGTCTTACACAAGAGAGGTGTCGATACTTTCTGGGTTTGCGAAACATGTCGGCTTTCCAGCTGCGCCCACGATATCAGGGGTTACAGAAGAACAGCTGGAGGACGATCTGGAAGCTATTGCAGTGAGTATGAGTAGGGTCTAGGATTATTGGAGGGCGGCTCAAACTGACGCATCTTTTCTAGAGCGCTCGTGAGCCGGTACCTAGACCGATCGCCATCCCTCCTCCGACATTCCCTCAGGACCTGACGGCAGGATTTGGGCCTTCGCTTGGCCTTGCAGGAGAGCAGTTTATTGAGCAAACACCTTGGCTCAACCCTCGGCACCCAGCACATCGACAACAGCAACCGCACCGACGAGAACAAAACCTACAGCACGTTTTTGCACCCGGGCCAGTGCAAGGATCAACACCCAAAAGCCACTCGCAACAGCCCGGTGGTCTCTTTTCTTCTAGTACCTCGATGATACCGAACGGTGACTCGCCAGTACAGCTGCACAAAAACCACTCAGCAAGCACTGTCGAAGCCATCAAAAGGACAAAACTCGGCCCTGAGCCATTCCGGCGCGACCCAGCGATACAGGCGTCCTAATCTTTTCTATGTTTTTTTTTATACCGGTCTTGCTTTTTTCCTCTCAAAGATTAGCGGATGTAGGGACCAGGCGGAGTTTTTGATTGGAATTATCTTGGGCATATAATGCAGGGTTGTATGAAGTTTTGACATATGGGGCATGCTTTGATGTGCGGCGTTGAAAGGCAGAGGGGTTTTGGAAGAGGGTGGTTGACCATTGAGGGTGGTAACATACGCCACCTGCATGATATAGCGAGGAGAAATCAGGGGTAGCTGCTCGCGTGTCATGTTACTAGAGGAGGGATGTTGTATGATTTGAAAAGCTCTGTTGTCACACTTTTCTTGGTGCTAGCTCGCATCCAGCGGGCAGAGTTGGGTTACGACCAGCCTGCTATGCTGGCCTACTTTACTCTGTATGCACTATTTTTGGCAGATACCAGGCGTCTTGGGAAGATTATACCAATGAGTTTCGGCACATGGTGTGCGAGGGGGTATATATGTTGGAACGTATAGGAGAGCGGTCGTGGTGTAATGCAAGTATGATGTCTTCTCCTTTCCAAAAAATAAATATGTTGTGGTATTGATTTGCCCAAAACGCCATCTTGATATTGCCCAACTTTCTTTCCCGCAGGAGTCTCCCTATGATATACTCATACACTATGCACCATCCCCAAGTAGCAGCGTACCTAGCTGCGTCTCCTACCCCATGCTTTGCTGTTCTCGTCTGTTCATTTCTTCGCAGGTTGCACAGGCACATCAGGTACCTTGACGTCTTCGAAATCGTCTTGGCCGACCGCCATGAGGGTATATGTGTCTGTGAGGATTGAGGTGTCCTTGTTAGCACCTTCCGCTGGACCGAGGAATAACTCATGGAAGGGTAACATTGGTTCGTACAGATACTAGCAGTGATTCCCACCAGGGCGAGACCGGTAAGGGCGTTCTTGAAGAGGTAGGGCCGGCGGGCGCGGACAAGAGCTGGCGATTGGGCCAGCTTCTTGTCGTAGTATGAGTTATGCCTAAGTCTGGAGTGTTGCAAGAAACATGTTAGCCACCTTACCTAGAGAACCAAGTACAAGGAGGAATTGTGAGCAATCTGTACCCTGACATGTTGACTAGGTATCTTGTCTGGCTGTTGCGATGCGATGCGATCGAGAGCTTGCCTTGCGCCGAGCAATGCCGAAGAATAAGTTACAGCCCACCCACGTAAGGAAATGGTATGATACGTCAGGTCAAAGACTGGCGGATGTTGCCGAGGGCAAGTGTGGGCTGATAAGCGCTTATCGGATAACCACCAATCAGCGCTGGAGATGCAGGTGTGAGACAAGGGTGCTGGTTCCTTTCACGTCACTGAGCTCTCTCGGTTCCTGGGGCGCGTCTCTTGTCTTTTGCGAACGAGCAAGGCTTCCACATCTTACCTAACGACCACCAAAATCAACACCATTGGGATATCACGGCAGAAAGGAAACTACCAGACCGGCCGCGAAAAGAGACTCCTTCGGAACGCTTGTAGCCATTGATGACGATGAAATTGATGGCTTTTGTGGCACTTGGTCCCTAACTTTCTCTCCGACTTGGCGCAGCACCCGCTACAGCTTTTTTTTTTATTCTTTTTTTACTTCGCGACACGAACCCTTTTTGCGCCTTCTCCGGGAACTGATCTCTGGCCAGCTCTGGAACAAATATCGACACCTCAAGGCGCAGGCAACCATTGAGAGCTTCAGTTCTTGGGTGAAGAGCCAGAGAAGTTATTTGATTTTGGGTGTGATATCAGTCACGCGACAGGTTTCCATCAATCGACAGACAGCTGGGGCAGTTGGGGGAGTTCTTGTAGATCTGGGGAGCGTTTGTTTTCCGTCGCAACTTCCTCAACATTCACCACAAGGAGGGCCACAGTGAGGTTTCCTTCAAGAGCTTGGAGTTTGCGCGGCCCTGAGATTTCTTGAGAGCAAGCTGTTGTCCAAATCAACTATCTTCCTGCGCACCCAGGCACAAGGCACACTTTTCGGCACGTTTTCTCTGTAGAATCTTGACCAACCTTTGTTGCCCAACGACTTCTTTCTCTCCGCGCCTTTTGCCTCCTACCCACATCTACATACTATCATACCATCCGTCCGTCCCCTTCGCTATCCTGCCGTATTATCAACTTCATCCCACATTGCCCCACCAAAAAGAAGGTCGGTCGGTCGCTCTGTGTGGGAGAGGGCGGTTTCCTGATACGGCAACACACCAAAAACAAACAACAATCGACCGAGGCGCAAGATCACATCATACCGACCATGGCTTCTACACCAGCTGTCCCCATTGAGGAGCAGCTCAAGCAACTCAACGCTGCTCGGAAATTGGCCTTGGAAAACTCGGCTTACTACGACCGCATCGTCAAGGGTGTTTTACCTGTCATCGGACCGACATCATCGATCGAACTCAAGAGATGGGGAGCTGAGTTTCTGGCCGAGTCGCTGGCCACTCCAGTGCTTTCGATGCGCGACAAGGAGAGCTTAACGCTCTCGGTACTTGACACGCTCAAGTCGTTATTGGAGAGTGAGCAGGATGATGCGATTGTGCTGAAGGCTAGCATTGCTGCCGCGGCGAGCGCGTACCCAGTTGTTTTGAGGTGGATGTAAGTAGTACTCGATCATTGCTTTGGTGCTGTGACTTGCCGTGATTTATGCCCTTGCTGCTGTCGTCGGATCTGAGGAGCCGAACCCCAGGCTATTGTATTGTGATGGGGAGGGATGAGGGATGTGCTTTGATATGCCTCTTTTTTCCATCCTCTCGCCCCATCGTAATGCTTTGCCCACTCGGTTCCTCTCTCTCTTTCCGAGGGGGTCCGTTCACTGTTCGAATATGCCTTGCCCATGTCATGTCCATTCAGTGATGGCTGAACTTGCTTCATGTCGAGCATGCTTACTAACTCTGGTACTTGTACAGTATTCACAACAGCTATCACACAGAGGCTTGGGAACAAACCTCAGCGATAAAATCGAGGATCCTCAGGATCTGGGATGGAGCCCCGGCCCCCGTCAGACTAAGCTGCATCAAGTTTGCGCAGCGTGTTGTGCTCGCCCAAACAACGTCCAACGGCCAGGAGGTCAAGTATGGTGGACTCGACATTTCGCTGGGCATGGTACCGGCGAACCACCCTTTGCTAGACCCACGACTGATGGAGGCAGAGGCTACTGGCCTTCTCGACCGGATGTTGGGGGTGCTACAGGATAACAGCAACGATGCTCTCCTTGTCGATGCGACCTTGAACTGTCTTTCGATCCTGATCCGAACCAGGCCAAGCACTTCGAACCGCATCATTAATTGTGTGCTCAACTTTAACCCTCTCAAGTTGGCCAACTCGCCCATGACGCCGAAAAACAAGGTGCTCATGAAGTCGATGGAGAAGACGACCCGGATGCTCATGATTAATATTTTGAAGAGGCATGTGTCGGTGATTCAGGGGTAATCAGGGGCCCACGCCGAGACCTTGCTAACCAATTGAGTCTAGGGATCCCAACAATCAACACAGCGGCCGTGTCCAGCAGTATGTTGAGCGGTTGATGCGCTCTCGCGCCGAGATATTCGATGAAGCGGGTCGGAAGAGACAGCTTGCTGACCAAGCGGCTGCCCAATATGGCGATCTCAAGAGACAGAAGATGCAGGATGCTTCTGCTGCCGCTCCTGAACCTGCCGCGCCAGCACAGCCAGCCGTGATCCCGCCATTAGCACCAGGACCTCAGACTCTTGCTGCCGTCTTCACGTTGACCAATAACCCTGGTCTCCAGGCCTTTGATGCTACCAGCATTCCCGCCAACCTAGTGGCCAAGATTGTGGCTAGGACGCTCAATACTCTGGACCAAAGTGTCTTGGACTTTGCGGTAAACGGTATAAGAAGTCGTCTTCACACTCTTCAGGCTGCTGCGGTGACGGCGGCAGCCCAGTATGCCGCCCATGGAGCTGCGGGTTTACCTGGTGCTATCAACCCTGCTACGGCACCTTTGGGAGTGGAAGAGGATGACGATGATTACGAGCCCAACCTTGACGCGGCGGAAGATACGGAGCAGATTCTCAACAAGCTCGACAATGCACCCCCCGAGACGGCGCTCGACGAATATGCCGATCCCAACGCTGCCCTCGGCCTCGGCCCATTCACCCTCGCACCACCACCCCTGATCGACGCCGACGTGGCCTCCAAACTCAGCTCCGCCGCGGCCTCCCGCCTCTTTGGCCCTCTATCCTCTTTATCATCAGAAGGCCCAAGCAAGAAGCCAAAAGCGGGCATCAACCGCCTTGCCGCCTCGTCGTATGATCGCGATTCCTGGCTCACCGTTGCCACTCGACTCGCCACCCGCAGCACATTCGGCCTCGAAGAAGAAGAACAAGAAGAAGAACAAACCTCGGCAGTCAAATCCGAAGAAGGCGCCGTCTCCCACCCGTTGGCCTCCACCTTTAACCAATCCATCCGCGAGATGTTATTCACCTACATACTCGAAGACTGGCGGCCGAGAATAGAAGTCGCGGTCGCGTGGCTCAGCGAGGAGTGGTACAATGACCAGCTCACCAAGCGGACGGGGCTGAGGAACGCGCCGCTGCACTACGAGACGTGGGCGCTGAGGTTGCTGGACGGGTTCATGACTTTTATCACGGCGCAGGATAAAGTCTTGACGAGGTTTTTGGCCGAAATTCCGGAGCTGAGCGGGGAGTTGCTTGGGAGGCTGAAGACGCTGTGTGGGGATCCGAATACTTTGGGCTTGGCGATGACGAGCTTGTTGTATCTTGTTATGATGAGGCCACCTGCGAGGGAGTTGGCGTTGGATACGGTTGGGGGGATTTGGGTTGAGTGTGAGTACACCCTGGATGAGAAATGGTATTGAAGGGATGATGCTAATGATGATGCAGATGAGGAGGCGAGACCGCTGGCTGCGAAATACTTGAGCAAGTGGCGGCCGGGGTGGGTTGAGCAGCAGATGCACTTGCAGGCTGCGAAGGCTGTGGCTGGGGGTGGTGGGAATGGGGCTGCTGGTATTGCTGCTTAGGGTTGATGCAGATGGCGAGGTTCGGGTAAAGGGAGAGGTTCTGTATATTACGACAATCAATTCACTGGACAAGGTGGCAAGGACAACAACAACAACAACAACAACAACAACATTTCTAAACCTTCACGGGGCTTTTCTTTTGGAGAGGAGGCTGACAGTTATATTCAAAGTGGATGGTTGGGTTGTTGGCAGGTATTGTACCCGGGTATTTGTCAATTGAAGATATAAAATGGATCAGTTCGGGGAGGAGCGAAAATTGGGGACCATGGTTACCTAGGAATATGAGGGGAAGGGTGTATTGTATGTAGAGTGCTGTGCAGTAGTTTTCTAGTATCAGGGTATGGCTGGCTGGCTGAGGAAACGCTTAATACAAGCTTTTTTTTTTAATGAATGTGTTTTGTAATAAAATAATTGCCTGCAGCGCCCCAAGAAATCTGGTGCGCGGAGGTGTGAGAACAATTATATAACAAACGCCAAACATTGCCGTAGGCAGGTAATGTGCCT